CTATTAATGTTCCTTATTTTAGACTAGGTTAATCCTGGTGTCAATAGGGAAGATCTGCACTGTTCTCTACATAACATGTTCAGCAGAGCAGGTATTTCTCCTACCAGATTTGGAACCCCCCCTACAACTTTGTCCAGGCAGGTCACTCCACAGAAACTGCCCTCCTTGCTTTCACTGAGGAACTGCACACTGCTAAAGCAGCCTCCCTCTCCTCTGTCATCATCCTTTTGGACCTGTCTGCTGCATTCGACACGGTGAACCATCAGATCCTCCTTCACACTCTCCAAGAACTTGGAGTTTCAGGCTCTGCACTTTCCCTCCTCACCTCATACCTCAAAGACCGTACCTACAGGGTAACTTGGAGAGGGTCCGAGTCCGACCCTTGTCAATTAACTACAGGGGTCCCTCAGGGCTCTGTTCTTGGTCCCCTCCTCTTCTCCCTGTACACAAACTCGCTCGGATCAGTCATTAGCCCGCATGGTTTTTCATACCACTGCTACGCTGACGACACCCAATTAATTCCGTCCTTTCCCCGCTCAGAGACCCAGGTCGTCGCACGCATCTCTGCTTGTCTAGCTGACATCTTTCAGTGGATGTCTGCTCATCACCTCAAGCTCAACCTTGACAAGACTGAACTGCTTTTCCTTCCGGGAAAAGATTGTCCCACTCTTGACCTAACAATCAACATCGGCACCTCTGTTGTTTCCCCGACTCAGACTGCAAGGAATCTGGGTGTGATCCTAGATAACAAACTGTCCTTCACTGCAAACATCGCTGCTACAACCCGCTGCTGCAGATACACGCTTTACAACATCAGGAGGATACGTCCCCAGCTGACCCAGAAAGCCACGCAGGTTCTGGTCCAGGCTCTCGTCACCTCACGCCTAGACTACTGCAACTCCCTCCTGGCTGGTCTACCTGCATGTGCCATCTGACCTCTGCAGCTCATCCAGAATGCAGCGGCTCGTCTGGTCTTCAACCTTCCTAAATGTTCCCACACCACTCCACTCCTCCGCTCCCTTCACTGGCTTCCGGTAACTGCTAGAATCCACTTCAAGACACTGGTACTTGCATACCATGCTGCGAATGGATCTGGCCCTTCCTACATATTGGACATGGTTAAACTGTACACCCCAGCGCGTGCACTTCGCTCTGCATCAGCCAAACGACTCGCTGCGCCCTCGCTGCGAGGGGGACCCAAGTTCCCATCAGCAAAAACACGTGCGTTTGCTATCCTGGCTCCAAAATGGTGGAATGAGCTCCCCATTGACATCAGGACAGCAGAAAGCCTGCACATCTTCCGGCGCAGACTGAAAACTCATCTCTTTCGACTCCACTTCGAGCGAGAGAATTACTAACAAAGAATTACTAACAAAGCACTTATATACTAATAAAGGACTGGCTTATCTATAGCCAGTTGAGTAGCACTTGAAATGTTTGGCTCTATGAAACCTGATGTACTTATTAGGGCCGGGACTCGATTAAAAAAATTAATCTAATTAATTAGAGGCTTTGTAATTAATTAATCGAAATTAATCGCATTTTTAATCACATATAAATATTTGACCTAAGAACAGTGAGAAGCAATTTTTTTTCACATGGATTTTAGTATACCATTAGGCGCATTCACACCGCAGTACTTTTCCCACAAAGGTTCATGAGAACTTAGTTCATGAGAACTCTTTGAACCTGGGGGTGGATTAGGCAAATGAAGCCGCTGACGTCACTTCTTCTTCTTCTGCTTTGGGTTTACTGGCAGGCCGCAAACCACTTCACGGCGTATACTGCCGCCCAAAGTCCCCGGCCGGAAGTCCCCGGAGTTGGGGACTGGCTTCAGTAGAAGCTGCTGGGAGTCCCAGCAGCCTTCCGAGTAAATCGCCAGAACGCCGACACCTCCTCATCTCCACCGCTCCCATGTTTTATTTTGTGTTGCCATAAGTTAGTCTCTCTTTGTTTCTGCGCTGGGCTAATAATGCTAATGCGAGGATAATAAAATGGCGGCTTCACAAAACTTTTTGGGAGTTTTACGGGGCGTGGTTTGCAATCCGCCCAGCCAATCAGAAATATAGCTCTTTTCTCACAAGAGAGCCGTACGAAAGTCCCTGCTCTCTAGCAGCTCTCTGCTCTCTAGCAGGGACTTTCGTGGGGGTAAAAAGGTTCTCATGAACTAATTTTAGTACCGGCTCTTTTTGGTGTGAACGCGATAAAAGAGGCTAACGTCCACGCTAGCTGCTATATGTTTTGCATTGAGGTGATACTTGAGGCTTGATGTGCTGCGGTGATATGCGAATTCCTTTTTGCATAATTTGCACACAACCGTGCTCTTATCGACGCTTCCATCCGTCCGTTTTTTAAAACAACATTTCCCACTGTTGTTCACTGTGGTTTGTTGTTGTCTGAAGTCATGAACGTTAGTTGGTGCTCCAGTATAATCGGTACGCCTGAAACTCATCCAGTGAGAAACGTTCCGCGGTGCAAAAATAAGTGCGATTAAAATGCGTTCATTTTTTTAACGCGTTGATTTTTGTGTAATTAATTAATCTTAATTAACGCGTTAAAGTCCCGGCCCTAGTACTTATATGATTCTGTTTTCTTCAAGGTTGTGTCTTCCTGGTCGAATGTACTTATTGTAAGTCGCTTTGGATAAAAGCGTCAGCTAAATGCAATGTAATGTAATGTCCAGGACAATCACACCGTCACCAAAATCACACTGGTGTTGCCTGTTCCCCTCTAGTTTATGCTCACCAAAGCATTTTACTCTGGGCCTAGCAGGTGAAAAACTAAAGAGGGGCTTCCAAATCCGGCAGAGAAGGTGTTGGTGCTGCCGGATATTAATCAACTGATTAATAAATAAGAAATTGAAGTCAAAGTTTTAGGCATTTTCATTTGAAGCACGCTGTAAATAAGGACTATGAATGAACACATGCAATGTGGAAACACACAAATAGGTTTATTCTCAATACTCATAACTAGCCAATAACAATAGCAACAATAGCCTTCCCCCTAGCGAATGGGGACACACCCCTGAAAGTCCCGCCCACCTGGGATGTTTGTGTCAAAATCTCAAACAAAAAATGAGGGAGCGCAAACGAGAAGAGCTGCAGCGAGAGCAAAAGTCTGATCATTGAGAAAGAAGAAACAAGAACTGAAAACAAAAACCTATGTTAAAACAAAGAAAAAATACTTATAGTTTACATGATTACACAAATGATTTGTTTGCAATTTATAGTTTTATTTTTGAAATTTATTTTATTTTGCTTGACTGCTTTTTTTTTTTTTTTTAAACTCATAGTTTTGCTTTATTCTGAGAAAGTGTTGCTTTATATTTATGATACAAAACTAATCCCATAGTTATCGAGCCTTCATTGTAACAGTCGCGGGTACACTGTGTATTTGCGTGGGGAGTGTTGCAGTATACAATTCCACTGTAGCGACCGGTACCTTAATGGAAAACCCTACATGTTTGAGCACCCTCTATGAAACGTCAAGCTACCCCACAGCACCCCCAAAATAAATCTCTGGCGCCGCCACTGAGCCTGCAACCCCGTTTTGAAGAAATGTGCTGTGCAAAACAGGCTCATTGCAGCCACTAATGCTGTGATAAGACACACTTTTTTTCCAAATATCAGCATTTTCTATCTTTTCATTTTTTTTGCACAGATTGCAAAGTGGCATAGTATTATAACTTATTGTTCTAGCAAAGGGATTGCACAATTGTATTATGTATTTATTTTTTGACCACACAGACTTATGGAGCATTGTTTTATTATCACTGTTCTGGCAAAGTGATTTTTAAAGGAATGCTCACGTTCATATTGATGTATTTTTAATAAATGTTAACTTGGCCCATTACGTGACTATTTGTGTTGTGGGGGGGCCGACTTTTTTTTTTCTCCAAAGGGACAGAACAAGTTTGAGAACCACTGGTCTAGTGACAACATTTACTACGATATTATAGAGTAAATATATATTATAGTAAGTTATATTCAATTGGAGTAAGCTGTGACAGTACAAACAACTGGAATTCAGGTATCCTTCATGTTATAATTGAATTCAATCTGTGTTTAAATGTTGTGCCAGTCAAAAGAAAAAAACGATTTTTAGGAGTTTTCTTCACAGACTGGAGGTCAGAATCATAGGACATACAATGACAGTCTTAAGACACTTCTGTATGAGGCTACCGCCCTCTAGTGTCTGACTGAAAGGATCGCAGGGCACTAAAGACAAGCAGCCAGCTCCAATCACTAAGGAAGGCGGGAGACCACCTGAAAGGCGATGGTCATGTGACCTCACTACATTGTAAACCCTGTACTGTTTCATATCAAAACTATGTTAAAGACACAGCTCATGGCAGTGGTGGGAAGGGAACTAGTAATAATGTATTACGTGCCCTACAGCTTAGAGGAACAACTTTGAGGTTACTTTTAGTAAGTCTATGTAGTGTATGCTACTTTAAACGTCCACTTTATTCAAGAGACAAATATTTAATCCATGACATTCATATGACAGCAATTGTAGACTAAAATGTTACATAACAACATCATACATAAGATACATTACGACTTTTACGTACATATATGCTATGTAGGCCTTAACCTGTCACAAAAGTATAATTCTCCCTTGTGGCATAATAATATCCTAACAGCATGACATAATGTAACAAATGTTCCTTCATTTCAATTTGGAATTACTTCGTATAGGCCTATCTGTACTTTTTTCAAGTATTCTGAATGCCAGAGATTTACTTGTAATTGAATGTATATTTACTTTCATATTTGCCGTCAGAGGACGTCCTTTACCGTTGGCCATGTACGACAACAGTAAAGGACGTGTGTGCATAATATTGTTTTACATTTTAAAAGTAGCCTAGTATTCACAGTGCAGTGTCTAACCGTGGCCAACTGGAAGTACTACTAACCGGTTAGATCGAGGTTAGCTCCGGTGCTACTTCGGCTACTTCCGTGGACCGGTGTTGCCTTTCCTAGCGACCCAGTTTAACATTTCGGCTGCTACGATTGGTCAGCAATCTGAGAGTCTCCTATCCAATTGGTGGAAAGAAACAGGGAGGGACGGATCTTCTTGGCCGATCTTTCGGCTTACATGTTGGAAAAAAGAAAAGACGAATGGAAAAAATTGTAATCCACAAATCGACCATTGCCTAGTACCTCCACGATAAGGTAACATCTGCACACACGAAGAGACATGCTTGTTTGCTTAGCCATATGAACTATACGCCGTTTGAACAACTTCAGGCATTTAACATGAAAAGCAGCCAACAGCAGGATGAGCGATTCTAACGTTAGCCTGCTGCTAGCTAACATAGCTGGCTAACAAGGTAGCTTTTTAGTTTTAAGGTTACCGGGGCAAAACCAGAGCCCACAGTGTGGGCAATGTGACCGAGCAGGTATCGCGTTTGGTTATTTTGACACAGGCAGTCGAAAAGTCGTTTTTTAAAGTGCCCATAAAGATGGTATTTGATAAGCTTCGAAACAGTTGTTGTCGAGCAGTTCTGTCATGTTATTAACCATATAACGGTAAACAAAAGATCTAAAACAATGTATTGTTTGTTATAGTCATTTGTATTCATAATGGTATCCATTTTATTCACACCATTTGGTAAACTGTCTGGTTGCTTGGTACTACTAGCAGCGCTCCATTAGTCTGTTTATGTCCCCGCGCCGCCCCTAAAGGGTTAACACTGGTATGCTCTTATTGTTGTAGCAGTCGTGCATGTTTCATATAGGGAAGGCAATTGTTCTGACTTTAAACCTTAATTAAATATTAGATATGACTGCTACTGCAGTTAATTAATCTCCAATCTTAACATTATTTTAGGTTATAGTTAAAATGAGCTCCCAGCAATTCCCCCGACACGGGCTGCCTGCTTCCGGCGGGGGAGCCCCTCAGATCCCTGCGGCTGGAAACCTGGTGTCCATCAATCAGCAGTCAAATGCAGCAGGTAACTAATCCTCACAGCAATGACCCACCAGTTGCTTAATTTCTGGCAAGGGAAATGCCTATTTAATCTATCATGTTTTCTTAGCAGGTCCAGATGCTGACAGCAGTCGGGATGCTGATAGACAGCAGGATCATCCACCTGCTGGGGGCGGGGGGGCCTTGGCGTTTAGAGATGAGAAGCAGGAGACCATGGTGGTCAGACCCTACCCACAAGTACAGACACACGGCCAGCCACAAGCTGCCCCCCAAACTATGTCCATCCAGCCTGGCACTCCTGTGACTGCGCCTGCCCCCCCTGTGCACCTCCCTCAGGGCCAGCCTGCAGTCCTCACAGAGGGGCAGATGAAGGTGATGTTTACATCTGTAACTGTTCAAAGCTGTAGTATACATGTGAATAGGAAAGTATGTACCACCCTTATTGGGAGATGAAATATAAAAAAATAACCAGATTCGTAGGATTGTTTTTCTTTTATAAACCTACTACTCTATTTTTACTAAATCCGAACGAAGGTCTCAAACTGAGGAACTTTGCAAGCTTATCTTTTAGCTTAATATCACCAATTCATTTAATTTAAAAGGGGCCATGTGCAAACTCTAGCCTTTAAACAATGTTTTAAATAAAAATGTAACATTCTTCTCCTTCAAGATGTTGTTTGATATTCCTTTTATTGATTTCACTCAACATGTTCTAATAATGTTCTTAACACCCTTCAGTGTTAGAATATACCAATTCTTTTTTGTGTCTTTAGGCTGTCCTGAAATCACCAATGCCAAGTCGTCTTATTGCCCCAGCACCAGCTTCAAACCAGGGTCATATCCCCATCCCCCCCAAAGTGCCTGGTCATTTAACTGTCACCATGGAAAGCGGTATGCCTCCATCCCAATCTATTCCTGTGGCAACTATCAGCGGTCAGCAGGTGAGTTCACTGTCCGCAGACTGTGGTGTCTTCATTGTCTCTTTCTTGCTGATGACTAAAGCTGTATGCTTCTTTTATTGTTTTTCAGGGTCACCCTAGCAACTTACACCACCTGATGCCAGCAAGCATTCAAATCATACGGGGCAGTGCCCCTGCTCTGCAGATCGGGACCCCTTCAGTCCCCCCCCAGACGTTCACATCCCATTTACCCCGAGGTATGCATCATTTAATAAAAACGGAATGCCAGGCCTGTTTGTTTATTATACATTTGACATCTTTCTTCATGTCGGTTTAGTTGTAAAAGGTTATGTTAGCATTACGTTTCTTCAAAGATGTACATTCCCAGCTTTAAGGGTATATTTGTGGTAAATCAAATCACAAATGACCTGGCACCTTTTATTCAAGAGGTGAACAAACTTTCAAATAATAAAACAGAACGGCAGATTGAAAAAAATCTTTCCTCATATATTTTTTTATTGCACAGCTCATTGTTACTAAGCATAAAAGTTCCCTCAAAAAATCAACTCCCAGCCATCAACCACACTTTCTTTACTATGTAGATATACACATCATTAAAAGAAATATGTAACATGTTGCCCTATATTGCCAATAGAGTAAAAGGTGGTGGAATGGTGTTCTGATGGGAGTATCCCTTTTCATTTTGTTATACGGTAATACAATACCTCAAAAATCCCAAAACATACCGATATAAATTCTTATATATAGTCTTATTTTGCACCCCTTACATTAAATACATTAGTTGTCCTTTAACTGTTTGTTTCTAGCACTGCATATCCCTTCAATAGTCTCCCTCCTCCCTGTAGGGGCTGCTGCAGCAGCTGTTATGTCCAGTTCCAAAACAGTCCTGCGGCCGGCCACAGGAGCCAGCGCGGGCCCCGGGCCCACAGTGCAACACATCATACACCAGACTATTCAGGTACCTGAACATGTTTGGATTTTATGTTGAAACCCTTTTAGTACATGTTGTGTAATCATATACTTTTCCCACAGTCCCGCCCTGCTGTCACCACATCTACAGCTGTGCTTCCAACTGTGGTGGCCCCCATTTCAGCTACCAGAACCCAGTCACCGGTCATCAGCGCGACAGTCACACACTCCGCAGAGGTGGCCCATGGGTAAGTAGCAGTCCAACAATGTATTGGGGAGGACCTGAGTACAAGTGATGGCGAGATGAAGCCTTATGAAGCTTTGAAGCTTTCCAACCAATTGGTTTGCAAAAGGGCTCATCTCATGAGGCTTAATTTGAACACCAACGTTGGTCAAAGAGTGTAAAACAGGCAGATATGACATCTCAACAGTGTGATCTTTCGTGTACTGTTATCCCAATGAGTAAAGCCTTAGAATAACTCTAAACAATGAACATGAAATCATATTTTCATGTAATCAATTTGTATCAGTATTGTATATATTCCTGTTGAATGATTGTGATTGAAAAGCCTAAGGAGGCTGGTAAACATTATTACTAGGGCTGTCAAACGATTAACATTTTTAATCAGATTAATCACAGCTTAAAAATTAATTAATCATGATTAATCACCATTCGAACTATGTCCAAAATATGCCATTTCTTTATGTATATTGTTGTGGGAATGGAAAGATAAATGAAAGAAGGCGGATATATCCATTTCACATACAGTATCTATGTTTATTATAACATTTTTCTGTGTGTCAAAATGAAAGACAACCCACACACCTATCAATCATCTTGATTTCTATCAACGGGGGAGTACTTCAGGAAAGTCGACAGAGGGGGGGGGGCTAGTGGAGTACTTCGTGACCACAGAGTGTGAACGTTGTGATCAGCTGTTTTAGCGCCGTTCTCCAGTGAAGGGGGGGAGTCTCCCTCCGCAGCCGGTTGGCGTAGTTTTTGCTAGGGGTGGGCGATATGACGATATATATCGTCGTGACGATATATATCGTCGTGACGATATTAGGTCTCCACGATATGCTTTTTCAGAGATATCGTATCTATCGTGATAAAAAAAAATAATAAAAAAAATAAACTGATGTGAAAGACATGCTCTAAAGCTGTCTAGTCAGGATTCAGACAGTATTGCACTTCATTTATTGTCTTGGTTGATTCTGTTGGCTTATATTTTATTTTATTTGCGTGCATATGAAACGCTAACCATTGAGATCATTAAAACTCATTTGAACGCCGATCAAGCCTGAAGCCACAGAGACGGACACCATCCCCTGTCCGGCTAGGGTTAGGGTTAGCCAACACACTCTCACTCCATAATCGTCCAGGAGCGACGTTTGGTCAGTGTCCGTGGCGTCCAGTTGTGACGCTCCTAGGCTCCTTCAGCGTCATAAAGGGACGCAAATAGCTTTCAACTGATTGCAATGTATTCCCATCTGCGGCGGGATTTGACGCTCATGGAAGCACGGCATTCGTTTGTGTCGGCTGCCCTTAAAGGCAATGTGAGCGTCCATTCTCATTGGATAACGGAGAATTGTACACCCGGAAGTAAGTATTCCTCTTACTGTCGATTGATTTTACAGTGATATCTGCATTACTCATTGACTAAAAAACACCAGATTATCCTTGATAATTACACAACATTGATGGTTTAAATTGTGTGCAATGCTTTTGTATTTTTCCCCTTCGATTCGGAGAAACAAATATTTTTTGCGAGTAAAGAGCCGCATTCACACCGCAGGACTTTCCCTGGTACTTTGGTTCTTTAGTTCCGTTAGTACCAATAATGTCGCGTTCACACCGCCGGGACTACTCAGTGCCGGGAACTCTTTTGGCCATTTTCAGTCCCTGCTAGAGAGGTGGTACGAACCTGGTGATAAAAGAGTGCCAATTTCTATTCTATTTCTATTGGCTGGGCGAATTGCAAACCACGCCCCGTTAGACTCTGAATTTGTTTTGTTAGGCAGCCATTTTTTTCCTCGCTACAAAACCACATCCACACCTGAGCGAGTAGTTTCTTTGTACTTTAAAGCAGTTATGACCACACGTACTACAACACCGGAGCGGTGGAATGATGAGGAAGTGTCGGCGCTTCTGGCAATTTACTCAGAGGACGGGATGCAGCAGCTTCTACAGAAAGCAGTTCCCAACTCCAAATGTTTTGAGCGATGTTCGCAAAAGCTACTTGAGCTGGGAATCGTGCACAGTGCACACGGATGCCGGGTAAAAATTAAAAAACTCAGGCAGGACTATAAAAAAATTAAAGACCACAATAATAAGAGTGGTAACGATTTTCTATTGTTATTATATATATATATTAGGGCCGGGACTTTAACGCGTTAATTAAGATTAATTAATTACACAAAAATTAACGCGTTAAAAAAATTAACGCATTTTAATCGCACTTATTTTTGCACCGCGGAACGTTTCTCACTGGATGAGTTTCAGGCGTACCGATTATACTGGAGCACCAACTAACGTTCATGACTTCAGACAACAATAAACCAGTGGGAAATGTTGTTTTAAAAAACGGACGGATGGAAGCGTCGATAAGAGCACGGTTGTGTGCAAATTATGCAAAAAGGAATTCGCATATCACCGCAGCACATCAAGCCTCAAGTATCACCTCAATGCAAAACATATAGCAGCTAGCGTGGAAGCTAGCGTGGACGTTAGCCTCTTTTATCGCGTTCACACCAAAAAGAGCCGGTACTAAAATTAGTTCATGAGAACCTTTTTACCCCCACGAAAGTCCCTGCTAGAGAGCAGAGAGCTGCTAGAGAGCAGGGACTTTCGTACGGCTCTCTTGTGAGAAAAGAGCTATATGTCTGATTGGCTGGGCGGATTGCAAACCACGCCCCGTAAAACTCCCAAAAAGTTTTGTGAAGCCGCCATTTTATTATCCTCGCATTAGCATTATTAGCATTAGCATTAGCCCAGCGCAGAAACGCAGAGAGACTAACTTATGGCAACACAAAATAAAACATGGGAGCGGTGGAGATGAGGAGGTGTTGGCGTTCTGGCGATTTACTCGGAAGGCTTCAGTAGAAGCTGCTGGGAGTCCCAGCAGCTTCTACTGAAGCCAGTCCCCAACTCCGGGGACTTCCGGCCGGGGACTCTGGGCGGCAGTATACGCCGTGAAGTGGTTTGCGGCCTGCCAGTAAACCCAAAGCAGAAGAAGAAGAAGTGACGTCAGCGGCTTCATTTGCCTAATCCACCCCCAGGTTCAAAGAGTTCTCATGAACTAAATTCTCATGAACCTTTGTGGGAAAAGTACTGCGGTGTGAATGCGCCTAATGCCTGGTATACTAAAATCCATGTGAAAAAAATTGCTTCTCACTGTTCTCAGGTCAAATATTTATATGTGATTAAAAATGCGATTAATTTCGATTAATTAATTACAAAGCCTCTAATTAATTAGATTAATTTTTTTAATCGAGTCCCAGCCCTAATATATATATATATATATATATATATATATTGCCACTGTTTTTTAATACTGACACCTAACTTGCACTAAGGTGTGTCTGCTGCTATATATATTGCCACTGTTACATTGTTTTGAAACTACTTACACTTTATTTTACATTTCACACTTTTATTTAACTTCAATGTACATGCATACGACACACCTGGAACAGCGTGATGCCGTTATTGTTATGTCTTGACTATGCAATAAAACAAACAAACTGGCGAAGCTTTATTTATTGTGTCCCACCCCAAATGTGCAGAATAGAAGAATGTGAGAGCAGACAGGTGTCGGTGGTTGAATTTATCTACAATGTTGCAACCTTGTGCAGCAATGGCACGGGCAGAAACACAAGTCTTACACACATAAACACAAGTCATTTATCATGTCATTTGTTTTAGATAAATAAGGGGAAAACACCAAACAAGGGTTAATGTCCTTTTCCAAAATCAGCCTGAGGGGGTAATATATAATAAATACATAAAGATAAAGTCCATTGTTATAATGGGGTATTTTATTTGTAAATTACCCTTATGAACTCCATCATGTCTGAGGTCGGAAAGTAAACAAACGCCTCATACAGCGGGTGGGCTTTATACCCCCTCCCCCCCGTGTAGTTCTTCTTCTCTCGTTTTTTTTTATACTCGCCGTGAAGTGGTTTTGCGGCCTGCCAGTAAACCCAGAGAAGAAGAAGACGAAGTGACGTCAGCGTAATCTTGCCTCAGGGAAAGTACTGCGGTGTGAATGCGATTGGCACTAGCCCCCTGGCGGATTCAGTGCCGTGGTACTTTAGTGCCGGCACTAAAGTACGGCAAGTCCTGCGGTGTGAAAGCGGCTAAGGATGGCAGAAGACACTACACTACCCAGAATCCCCAGCTATCGTTTGGACTACACCATGTGCTCTGTGCTTGTACTGTTAAGTAACTTGAAAAATAACCATAATAACCGACATGAAAAAATATCGTGATATATATCGTCTATCGTGATACTGCTTGAAAAATATCGTGATAATATATTTTTTAATATCGCCCACCCCTAGTTTTGGCACAATTCCGTTGTACAGACCGACGTTAACAGCAGCCTGTCTGTGCACACGGAGACCGACTCTGTCGTTCGGTGATCTAACCGCCTTCTGGAAAAGCTTCACAAGTACGTACGTACGTACGTACGCAAATGCACTTTGTGACACGAGTGACAGACATTACGCATTTCAGATTACGCACAACGCCTGCGTACCAGTTAGTGTACCCCTGTACTACAGCAAAACTATTCTCCGTCGGGACTTCCTACAACAACACCACGCCGTTATCTTGATTCTGATTGGCCAGAAGACATTATCAAAGATGTTCTATTGAGAAGACGATCACTACGTGACAAAAGTTTTCAAAACCGTTTCTGGTCTTCGGTATTTCCAGACAAGTGGCTACTGAAATCAATCTTACTAACTGCTGTCTGTGCAATTCTCGGCGCGAGTTGGCAGACTTTATTTTGCTTACTTTAACATCATTTTTCATGGTGGGGCTAAGCCATTTCTTGGAATGGGTGTAGCCTACCCCAGCCATACCCTGGCGCTGCCACTGGTGGCACGTATGGGGCGGGCCATTCTGCACATGCGTTAAATATTTTAACGCAATTAATTCAAAAAATTAATTACCGCCGTTAACGCGATAATTTTGACAGCATTAATTATTACATTTAGCTGATGCTTTTATAAACAAAAATATATTGACCAGTTGTTGAACCAGGGACCCTGTGGTTGAAAGTCAAAAGCCTTCCAGCTTAGCAACAGCCCATATGCTGGTTCTACCTGAAAACACTGAAGCATTACTTTACACTTAATATACTTTGTCTTACTCTTTGCCAATCAACACGTTCCTGCATTTCTGTTTCTCACTGGTCTTCTCCCTTCTGTCTGTAGTCTCTTTAATTGGGATGTGTAATTTGGTGCCAAACTTGTATTTAAAACCTCGAAACCAATCTAAGTGATGTGTTGACAAACAAACAAACAATCTTCAGGGTGGGTATAAGTGAGGGTCTGAGCTCTCTTAATCCCATTGTGGCACCGGGCCCGGGTACAGGAGGGGTAATATGAGTGTTGTAAAACTGTGAGGTGTCAGTGGTTCAACCGATCTGAAGCAGTCACGCTGTATTGTTGGGCAGCGAGGCTTCTTTTGTCATCGATGACGTCACTGGCCTAAAACGATACAAGCCTCGATACACGCTTCACCAAAATCCTGGATTACTCGAACCACGCTCCGAAGTTTCGGCGCAGTACGTAATATCACTAATGAGTACAGATTATGTTTGTGTAAACACTGTATAAGAGGTTTGTCTGTATTTAATCTGATGACAAAGGGTTGCACAGTATAGTAAGACAACACAGAGATACTTGTGACTTAATGGAAACTTCTATTTTTCTATTGTTCTTTCAATTCTTTAATATCAGCCATGTGTGCTATATTTAGTCTCAATATGGCTCGAGAACTTTATCCAGTGCAGCTTAAAGCATTTTATAAAATAGTATGAATTCAACCTTAATAACTTGCGTATTCATATTGTGTTAATGGGGCAGTAGGTTATTACCTCTGTATACATTTTCTACAAAAAAATGTTTTACCTCAAAACAATGGGTCTTTGTGTGAATCTAACCATTTGAACCACTTCACTTTAAAACTTTATTATATCCTAAACTAACCAACATGTTACTGGCTGTAATAGTGGCAACATAATGTAAAGTCATCATAAGAACAACAGAGCGATGGAGTGTGAAGGGGCACATCTTGAAGGAAATGAAAAGGAACACACTCTGTTCAGTGAGTCCTGGAATGGTGAAAGTGTTCAGTTTATAGCTAAACAGAAGAAAAGTCATTCAAACTGATGACTGTTTGTTTAACATAGAGATCTTTTATCTGACCATGTCTTCATCACTTTTATTGAAAGGTGCCTGAGCCTCAATCTATGCTCTAAAGGGGCTGTCATTTTTTCCCCAGGCGTCCAGGGCTGTCCATTCACCCCCCTCCCCCCACGGTCAGCATTCAGAGGTCTCAGGCATCCCGGGACAACGCCACACGGATCACGCTGCCGTCTCACCCGGCCATTGGATCTCAAAAGCCTCAGCCTCCGCACATGACACAGGTTACTGCTTCTTGATGGCTGTCTGCAAAATATGAATATAAATAATGAAAAGTCATTCAAAACACTGACTGAACTAAAACGTTTGTGTTTCCTACAGAAGCCCATGTTCAGTCCTGTGACACCGGTAGCTGCAGCTACTGTGGCTCCAATAGTTGCCACTAACACTGTGCCATCAACAACCACAATAGGTATTTTATATATGAATTAATACCAGCTATAAAATGTTTTACAAGAAGAACACAATGAAACTTAAATCTGTGCAGTTATTCTTCCACATTTATTAAATAATATTGTCGTCCTAATTTTTTTAGGCTCTGTTCCGCATTCACAAATGAACAGTAACACTATTGTCACCATGACGATGGCATCGCACTCCTCTCATGCTACAGCTGTGACCACCTCGGCCATCCCTGTTGGTAAGAGGATTGTTTGGTATGTGGCGCAGTGGGTTGTGTGTTGATGTTGGGATTAGGGGAGCACAGGTTCAAACCCCACTGCAGTCAGCATGTCGTTGTGTCCCTGAGACACTTCACCCCAAATTGCTCCTGTGGTGATTGTCCTCAGTATTGAGTATGTAAGTCGCTTTGGATAAAAGCATCTAACAAGTGACATGTACTGTAACGTAATGTTTGGTGTCTTGGAATGGAACCCGGCTGTGTGCTTCACAGGCATTATCTTAACGTAAATGAATGAATCGGGTTTTAAACTCATCTTTCTGCTACCTATTCCAGCTAAAGTGGTCCCTCAGCCCATCGCCCACTCTTCATCTCGTGTGCAGCCCGACTACCCCGGAGACAGAGCCAACCTCATCCCCATCCCTGGCCATCGGCCGTCTCCTAACCCCGTCACCATGGAGGCCAGAAGTGACATCAGGTGAGCACACAATGTTGAGCAATTGACACGGTTATACCAGGAAAAATAGACAACCATAACATGGTAGTAGACATCTGATATCCACTTGTTATGTTTGAAAACCTAATGTAAAAAAAAGCTGATTCGAGCCACCACCAGTACTAGAGACGTTTATCCATTAAAAGAGCTCTTTCATCCTTTTTTTGCCATTATTTTATACTGCCATAAGCCACAAATTGTGCTTCTTTTAAGTATTTGGGTCTGGACCAACATGGTCAACCACTCCACTGACGCTGCAATCCCTAGATCCACGCAGATAGAGCGGCTCGGGTAGGTGTGGACAGGAAGAGCAGGTAATGGTGGAAAAAAAACCTAACCATACAACATTTTAGATTGGAAATCAAACTAAGCAAAGATGACAAAAGGATATCAACAGATCATAACTTTGTTAAAGCGACATAGTGAGGGTTCCAATGACATATGCCCCTTTCACACCAACGCGGTTCCAGGGCCGGTTCGGAGCTGGAGCTTGAAAAGCACTGGTTTTTCCTGTTCACACCGCAGCGGAGCCGCCTCTAAGCTCCGGAATCCGGTTAGTTTCAAGCACCAAAAAGTTGTCCGTCTAGAAAACAAGCACCGCTTACGTCGGAGGCAGGGGCAGGGGCAGGGGCAGGGGCATCAGTTTTAATGTTATACCATAGTAATTAATGCTGCAAAGCTGGATATTTTGAGCTTGGCGCATGCAGAGGCTAACAACAGCTAGCTCTAACGCCATCGAATAGGACGTATATTTACCTTCTTTCTCCTACAGAATCGTCGTTGATGATGATGATGATGATTGTAAAGAACTTTTGAATGTAGCATGTAACGACTGTAAAGTTGGTAGTAAAGTCGTCCCATTTCTTCCATTTCGTTTCGACAGAGCAAAACCAAAACGAGTAGCGCTTCAATACAATCGGTCATTGTTGTTGTTGTCGATGTGAGGGGTTTCCGCGCGGTTTGGCTTTATGAAGCAGGCACGCAACGGTTACGTCATGACGCAAACGATGACGCAATGACGCAAACGATGACGCAATGACGCAGCACCAGTCGGGCTCTGAGCGGTGTGAACAGAACGGGAGCTGAACCGGTTCCGAACCAGAAAAACTCTACCACGGAGCTAGAACGGGAAAAGCCTTGGTGTGAAAGGGGCATATAGTGACACTGCCTCCTTTCCCTAACTGCAGGATTATAAATACAATTCTGGCGAGTCTATAGTAAATTGCAGGGGAGAGAAGACACATCGTTTACTTTCTCCGTCTTTATATGTAGATATGACTTTTCTCCGTTAATCTCCGTGACATTGTTTCCATAGCAACAACAACTTCCTGTCAACAGCGCTACCTCTCCTTCAAAATAAAAGCATGTCCACAAATAAGAAGCCAAGCCAAATTACACTTAAGACATATACAACTACAACGAAAGTAACAAACACAATGCGATATCCTTTTCAATTTCAAAGAACACAAATTGGGTTACATTAACAAATAACTATAAAAAAACAATACTGTAGAATAACAAAAAAAATGCCGTGAAGAAACCGAAATACACGTGTTGAAACGGTTCGCTGCTGATTACTACTTAGTTTCCATTATGGATTGTGTGTATGGATTCAGATTGCATTCACTAAAGATTTTTTTTTAAAGTTGTTTTCTTATTATAACTTCTGTATTTAAATATGTGGATTTAGATATATGGAGATTAGTTATAATGAGATTGTAAGTAATTAAGTATTTAAGAGAAAAAATTAAATGTGATAAATATGCATTTACCTGAGTAATAGAGATTCATTCTGCTTGTCTGAATCATTGTGTATGTTTACTTTGAAGGCCGCCTGTGCCCGTGCAGTTCCAGTATTTCCTACCGGCATACTCCTCTTCGTACCCTCTGGCACACACCTACACGCCCATCAGCAGCTCTGTTTCTACCATCCGCCAGTACCCTGGTAAGCTCTGCTAACAATGCTGTTCTACTGGTAACATACACTTTATTATTTGACTTGCCATTTAAATCTTGGACTGTAGCTAAGATGTTGACACAATATTCTGAACTCAGTACTTTAAATGTGGAATGTTTAACATGAGGGTTAAACATGTCACACAAACATCTCACATGACTTCTCCCTCTCAACATAGTTACCCCTCAAGCTCCTAGTTCAGCACTGCCTACCCAGGCTGGAGTAGGCGTGGCGACTACCGTCCATCTGAACCACATGCAGCTGATGGCAGTGGATCGCATCGGTCTCCCATCCGCACAAATCGGCACCCAAGGGATCCAGCCAGCACCAATCACTGCACAGGGCATTCAGCCTACACCTATAGGAGTCCAGGGCCTGCACACGTCCACCCCCATCGGCACGCAGGGACTACAGCAGGGCCCCATGGTCACTCAGCAACAGCAAGCACAGTCTGAAGCAAAACCTGGTGATTACTAAACACACATTGTGGTGCAGGGATGAGTCCTAAACCACAGAATGAGTCAGGATTTTAACACTCCTGGTTCGAATGTCTCAAAGTCAACAGTTCATTTTTACTTGTTTTTTTATGGGTTCCTAAAGTAATGTCTGCCGTTAAAACAAGCTAAGAGATTTGAATGTGTTGTTGCACGTCAGTAAATACCCCACTCTTAAATGTCAACATTAGCAGCCTTTAGCTTAGCGGAAGTCACATGACGTGAAGTGGACTTTGCATTTAAGCTTCAACAATTATAAAAGTGGTGTAAATATCTGCAGTTTATTTCGCTGATCAAAACGTGTAATTATCTTAAACAGATGTTTGCCATGGAGCTTATTTGGGAAATATTCCCAAATCCGATAGAAAATCCCATTGGCTTTTGGAGAGGGAGCACTTGCGATGCTAACTTCCGGGTCAGCCTACAACAATAGGTCATCACTGCACCTCTCTTTACTGCCTCAGTGAAACATCATGGTGTTGATGAGTGCTACACTTGAGATGTTGGCTGCATGTAACGCATGTTTGATTTTCTTCAGGGGTTGTTTTGGCCGATGGCTTTGTAGCCAGCCCCATCAGCAGCACATTCAGCTCCACCCAGCCAGTTGCCACCATGGTGCAGGCACACGCCCAGGCAGGGGTAGGAGGAGCCCCCACCCTGGTCTCCTCCCCGAGACCCAGCATCCTCCGCAAGAAGCCCACTAATGAAGGGTGAGTAGAAGAACAGTACATGAGACGTGTTCAAATCCTAAACCTCTTAACTTTTATTCCCACAGTTCTGTCAGTGCTTATACACTGCATAAAAAACACTTTGTCCATTTTGAATTCAGGCTCCATAATTGTTTGAAGTTAGATGCTTACAAATAATATGTCACATAATGCGTATCTCTTGCCTATTTGCTGAGTCATTACAGACTGTGGTCACCCTAACCCTGACCTAATTATATACCTTTAGATTGCTCTGTATATACTAAACAAGGCTGACCAGTGGCAAACAGTAATTTCATAGCAGGTTGTCGTCAGCATTCAATTATATAAATGACATTTGACAGAAAGTAAAAAAGGATGGCTAAATGTTTTTCTCTTTTACCAAACCACCCCTGCTCATCTTTGTTTCAGGTGTGTTCGTAAGAACCTGATCCCCGCCCAGTCCAGTGACCCAAGTGGAGGCAGAATGGAGAGTGGTGTGAGGGGAGCAGGATCTCCCCGACCTGCAGGGTGAGCCCCCATCACATGTATCCATATTCATGTCCTGTCATTATAAGTTCTGATACGAGTCTAAAACCTTTCTCTCTCAGGTTGAAAGCCAAAGGTGAGGTTCACATGGGGGTGGCCCCCCCTGTCATGGCTACAGTAGAGGCCCTGTCTTCCCAGGGAGGAGAGCAGCATGCTCTGTCCTCCAACGCTCAGCACCTGGCCCAAGCTATCCCCACCCTGCTGGCCCAGCCGGGGCCCGCCCCCCCCCTGCAGCCCTCCACTGTGCTCTCAGCGCTGCCGGCAGCCATGGCTGTGACCCCCCCCGTCGCAGCTTCAATGGCCAACACTGTGGCCTCCCCCACCCAGCCTGCGGCCAGCAGCACTGCAGCCTGTGCTGCTAGCTCCACCTGCCCAGACCTAAAAATCAAGCAGGAGATGGAGAGCATGGACACCTCGCAGCCAGGTGAGCAGCGCACCAGTCTCCGGGGAATGTTTCTCATGGTCCTGTGTTTTTGTAACTGATTGTTTTTATTGAATATTTAAAAAATAATTATGTTATCACTCTTTTATTACACCTTTTTGTAACTTACTTACTTTCAATATATTGTGCAAGTTTATAAATACAAACTGTAAAATAAAAATGACATACGCTACACAGGACAAGGACAAATGAACATGATTTCATAAAAAAATAAAACTTGGTAAGCACATAATTGATTTCTTTTCGATGACAGTGGAAAGGAGGTAATCCATTTTTGCATGCTAAAAATTGCATGAAATAAAAATAATCAAAAAATGAATTCCAGTAAAACTATAAGAAATCCATAAACATAAAACAATCAAAATGTACACAAATAATGGATGTGTTTATCTCTTCCTCTCAGATCCCAATGCAAACTTGTCATCAGCCCCTGGCCTCACCCAGGCCTCCTCCCTCAGTGCTCCTGCCTCCGCTGATCTGATCCCTGGAGCCTCCCCCAGGAAAAAGCCCCGCAAGCAGCAGCATGTCATCTCCACGGAGGAGAGCGAGATGGTGGAGACCAACAGCACCGACGAGGAGAAGGCTCCCGGCAGGCCCATCACCGGCCGGGCGGAGCGGCGCGAGTCTCCTCCCAGAGAATATGTTGGTATGTAACCCCCATGATGACATCACTGATGAAAATGATGATGTGTTATCGGCTCTTGTTCAACACTCGTTTGTCTTGCAGATGAGGAAGGAGTGCGTTATGTTCCAGTGAAGCCCCGCCCTCCTGTCACTCTGCTGCGGCACTACAGGAACCCCTGGAAAGCTGCCTACCACCACTTCCAGAGGTACAGCGACATCCGTGTCAAAGGTCAGTAACTTCCTAGAAAAATGCTTGTGCTCTCGGTTTGTGCAAAGTGTTGAAAGTTCATTATAAACATATAAACTTTAAGAAGTTGTGTTTTTTAAAGTTAGGAATATTCAAAAATACTTACTGTCAATACTCGATTCTCTTATCTTCACAATCACTCATGCAAAGGGGAAATCTTTCATATCTGAAATAAAACCATCTTGTCCTCATATGTGTTAGCTATGTACTTCTGATTGAAGAGAAGAAGAGAAGAAGGCGTTTTTTATTAATCCCCTTGAGGACATTCAGCTTTAAATCTGTTGTTGATATAGAGCAGGGGTCGGCAACCTTTTTGATATGAAGTGCCATTCAAAAAAAATTCTTATCAGCGTGCCGACGATCGTGTATTATCAGCGGGGAAGCAGTGTGTGGACTAGTGTTAATTTCATTGACTAAAACAATGACGAAATATGTTCGTCAACAACCTTTTTTTCCATGACGAAAACGAGACGATGACGAGACGGCACCGACGGCAGTAAACAATAACTGCAACGAAATCATCATCATGCAATATCGTTGACGAAAAGTGACGAGACGAAAATGTAGTTCACTAAATAAAAACTATGCCAAAATCTCTCTTTACTTTCGTTGACGAAAAATGAGGAGACGAAATATTATCAAAGATAACGTTACATCTCTGATAGTCAGTTTTTCTCCCAGCAGTTCCATTTCCGGTGCTGCGGCAGGGCAGCAGCTGTGTGTCCGTGCTGCGCGCGGCGGTACATTTGAATTACACCGGGCAGCGGCACACTGAACTGTCAGGAAGACTCGGGTCTAACTCATGGTCTAACTAACCTTATTTAACAGAAAATAAAATGGCAACAACAGGGCTTGGGAGCAGTGGTCGCACTCGCGTTAACCGAATACCCCCCCGTCAGCGCGAGTGAGTGATAAATTGTGCACTCGACGGGTAATAATGGATTTTGACGGAAATGTTACAATCCTGTCCGTCAAAATGACTGACAACGAACAAGTCTAAAGCCACCACTGCTTGGGAGAAAGAAACGATGTGATATTTGGGCCCATTTTCGCTACAATGAGGCGGAGAAAAAAAGCGAATGCATTGTTTCATCAGAAGGGAAGCAATGTGGCCATAACACAGGTAAAAACACCACAAACCTGAGCAGATACTCTGCAAAGCTTCTTAATCATTCAACCTGTGTTTTTCATCAAATAAGGACAAGATATAATCTTATTTATTTATATTTGCTAAAATGACAAATTATTGGTTTTGGCTAGACTAGTTTGACTGAAATGTTCTATATAATCTGATGACTAAAAAAGACTCAACAGTTTTCATTGACAAAATAATTATTTTTAGTCGACTAAAACTTGACTAAATAAAAACAGGATGAAGGTGACTAAATATGACTAAAACTAAAAAGGAAATTTAACACAGGACTAAGACTAAAACTAAATTAAAACATAGCTGACGAAATTAACACTAGTGTGGACCTGTGCAACTTACATGATGCCGAATTTAACAAACAAATTTAAATAATTAGTTTAAACGGCATAATAATAAGGACGATCATCCGTTCTGTGATTCTCCAGAACACACAGATGGCCAGTCCGCCCCTTTGTAGCATATTATTTCGATGAGAGATGAGCAGATCGCCACTGGGCTTTCAACTAAAGACACAGCCACGCAAAAACTGCGGCATTTGTACAGCTCCTTATGGGTACTGCAATTTGTGAAGTGCGTTCCTCCGTGGTGAAACGATCAGCACTGCACCACGGAGGAAAGCGGCAGAAAGTCACCTGGAGTTAAAGAGAGCGGGGCTGCGCTGCGTGCATGGCTTCCTTCTGCAGGTAACGGGGAGACGCGCTCTGGCGGCGGTCTCGTTCAGGATCCGAAAATACAATTGAAATATTTTGCACACTTATTCCACTTATTCCTAGTGTGCCACTGGTTACGGTGCCGCGTGCCAGGGGTTGCCGACCCCTGATATAGAGTAACAGTTCAATGTGAAAAAAGACACACTTCCTGTGGCTATAAAGGAACTCTCTTTACTTTGTTTTTTGGCAATTGCATTATTAGTGACACTTTAGATATCATGATAAAGGCCCTGGAGAGTCTGTGTGGTTCAGGTACGTGGGACAGTGACACAAGAAAGGTTATATTTTCCTATTAAAAATATGTACACTTCATATCAACAATCCTTTGCTCTTCTAACAGAAGAGAAGAAGGGCAGCCTGCAGGATATGGGCCAACCAGAGAGGAGTGGACATGCCGAGCACAAGGCTGGAAAATCCACCTGTGTGCTGCACAGCTCAGGCAGCTGGTGGAGTGCTGACCCCAGACCTGCAACAACAGAACACTACTGTGCTTGTTGATCCCTCTGGGCACTAATGTCTTTCTCCTCTCTCTGCAGTCGAGTTTGGGAGCATGATGTGTACAGCCGCCTCTCCACCGCTGCAGGAGGGCCTGATCCCACAAAGAAGAGGGCGGGCTCTGATGATGATACTGCACCGGATCAACGAGCTCATACCAGGTAGGGTTGGTTGTTCCTGCAGACATTATCTGCTCAGGGTTGTTGCAGCACATTGCTCATCAAACGGTATCTTTATCAATTAAATGCGAACAAGTTTTAGTTAAACTAAGGTGTGTGTTGTGTGATGTGGGTGTTTGTGTGTTGTGTGGTGTGGTGTGGTGTGTGTGTGGGTGTGTATGTGTAGTGTGTGTGTGTGTGTGTCGTGTGGTGGTGTGTGTGTGTGTGTGTGTGTGTGTGTGGTGTGTGTGTGTGTGTGTTGTGTGGTGTGTGTGTGATGTGTGTGTGGTGTGTGTGTGTGGTGTGTGTGTGTGTGTGTGTGGTGTGTGTGATGTGGTGTGTGTGTGTGGTGTGTGTTGTGTGTGTGTGTGTGTGTGTGTGTGTGTGTGTGTGTGTGTGTGTGTTGTGTGTGTGTTGTGTTGTGTTGTGTGTGTGTGTGTGTGTGTTCAGGGTAACATGCAGGCGCTGTAAGCTGGTGATGGACCAGGTTGACCGAGGCCAGAGACACCATGATGGAAGGTTCTGGACCCACAAGGAGAAAGTGCTGAAGCTGCTCAACAAGAACGGTGCGGCGAAGAAGTCCTCCAAACTGAAGCGCAAAGAGCGGGCGGTAAGCTTGGACCCTCTCCTCTGTCCACAACCATCAGCACCCCCCATCTCTGAAGGGGGGGTGGCCTAACAATTTGGTGCTATGATTTGCTGCATACAATCGCACGCAGCCTCCGATCTGCCTGAGCAGACAGTGACAGGAGGGCGGGAGGAAGCAGACGAGCGCCATCAACAACTGGTTCTCATTCAAGCTCCACACACATGTTGATTGGGGAAGCATTGTAGGCTACATTAGAGTGGCCAACTGGTCCTTTTTTATTTTGTTAAATATTGAAGACCCCCAGAGACCATTTTTACTAACCTAATTCCTGCCTCTCCTTTAAGACAATGTCAGAACAGGCACACCGTGTGTCTTTTAATATATGTCACTTAATGGAGTTGCGGTTTAAAAACAAACAAATTAAAAAGTGATGTAAGTATTTCAGTTAGAGGACCAGCTGAGAGTTATTGAATGGGTCAAATCATTTGGAAAGGAGTCCTCTCATTAGCTGTGTATACAGACTAATCTCACACATGCTCTTTTCATTAAACTGTGCCTTCATTTAGTCAGCTTTCACTGCTTCGCCTATTCTCTGAAAATAGGTTAGTTCATATACTGTGGGTAAACACACTTGAGATTTAAAAAGTACTAGATGTGGCAAATTGAATTGATTTAATGTCCAAAAAATGCTGTTATAGGTTCAAAGAACAAAAGAGTCCTATTATGATTATCTGAATGCTAAAACACAATGCCAACTTAACTTCACATTTTAAACGGCCATGAATCTACTAAGTGGTAAAAACTATATTTTTGATTTGGTGTCAGAGTGAAGTGCTTGAAAGAGAGTGAGTATCCTCGTGTGATCATACTGGTGGATTGAGTTTATGTAAATCACTGTAAATGTGCTTTTGGTTCTTCATTGACATCTTTTCAAATTTTGTACTGAATAAGCATTTTGTGCAGTGTGGCGTGTGCCGCTTCATTTTGTGTAACGATAATGACGTTATGAGATGAAGCACCCTGAAACATCCAGCTATTGTACATTGTTTTTGTCTGTGTAATTATAGTAAAGATACTTAAACAATATGAAAACCAGTGTTAAGTCTTTACCTGTTTTTAACCCCTGTTTATAAAAGTTGCTCTGATGTCAAAAAACAGCCTTCAAATATTTTGTCTTAATATTATTTTCCACTTTTATAATGAAATCTTTTAACCATCTTCAGTCCTGATCATCACGACCAAATATTCATTATTTTCCAGTTTGTTAAAAAAAAAAGGCCTGTTGTTGTTTTTCATTTGAAAATGTGAAGTATCTTCTCAATATGAAATGCCATGTGTTCGAATGTTTCAATGTGGACACTTTCCTCCTTCAGAGTGAGGGTATTTGGGCTGCACACTTTATTCTTCACGTATTAGGAGCCAAGGATCAATTCCCAACATGTGAATGCTTTATGCATTCCCATTTTTCCAAGAAACGATTTAAAAAGCCCAAAATGTCCCCATTGAGACCAAGGGTTAATATTGTACATGTTAAAAAGAGTGGATAAACAGACCACACCTGAGGACCTTAAACCAGTGTTATCAGGGGCATCTTGATGAGCATGCTCACTAACTGGTCTTCACAAGTTATTATATTCTACTGTCATCACATATGAGACAAATGACAAATATAGATTAGTTTGATAGTTATGGGTGTTTATGAGACAATGGGCCACCAACTTTTCCACAGAGAGCACACACACTTAAGTTTAGGCTCTTTGATCCTTTTGTGTCTCAATGGTTGTTTTCATTTGTCATAGTCCTTGTGATTTGGTCTCTGTAGTCTTTTTTGGCTCTTTGTTGTTTTAAGTTTCTGTTTATTTTGAGTCTCTTCCTGGATGGTATTTTCCTAATTGAGGCAAATCTGTATATTTAATGTCTGATTGGTAAATGCTGTCCCATGTGTTTGAGTAGAAGGTATGAGCTGTTTTATGATCACATCCTCCTATCTCCAACGTAATCGCTGTGATAAACAGGAAGTGCATTGGCGGTATCCTGAGGTTCTGTATCAGGAAAAGTGACTTTACTGGTATTTGTGTAATCCACTCTCCCCTTTTAGCGGGAGTTTTTGCACTGTCAACAGAATACACTTATGTCTGGTGTCAGTCATTTCAATATTTCTTAGACAATTAGCAAATCAATCCTTTTTGTCATGTCTAACATTTCATTTTTTGGAAAAATTCTTAATCTTTTAGCCATTTATTCAAAGACAGATATCGTGTTTATTTGATTTATAGTAAATGGCATTACTACTGTAGCATCGTTTTTTTTCCATTGTGAGTGCAGACATGAAATTATCCAGATTAAATAAATGAAGGGGAAGGAACCTGTTTTCTCTTCACGTTATCATCAGATATCTAGATGTGAATGACAGTACCGGTGATAACATCAATTGCTGAGGGTGCTCTGTGATGATATCATGAAGTGAGTCGGCTGGTTGGTGACACTGGTGGCTCTACCTTCTGCAGGTGCAAAGTCAAAAAGCCATAAAGAGGTGTATGCTGGGAAACTGCCTGCTTCCTGCTTCACAGTCATTCAAGGAACAGCTGTCCTCAGATCCGACACTTATTGTTTCGAACAAGGTAACACGGTTATGATGTGTATTTATTTTTGTACTTTTCCATTGTGATCTTTAGAGTGTTAAAATGATAGATCTATGGAAACCGAAAATCGCATTTAAATTGGGTATAATTGGGTTTCTCATGTTCAAGTGTCATGTCCAAATGACAATCGGAGAACCTCCAAACTGCCTTCTAAAAATACAGTTTCGTTGCTATTGTATGTTATCTATGGCTAGTTCTTGTGTTACTGTCACTGGGCTGAATCTTAATAAAGAAGATGACATTTTCACATTCCTTTGCAGTCTTATCCAGGGTTTGCTATGCTGCATTTGAGTAAGGTAAGAACAAGTATCTATGTAATATTTATACATGATCCTAAAATTACTCAGACATTTTGATTGAGAACTAGTAGTCTTTGTCAGCACCAAAATAATTGTTTGTTGCCCCAACTAGGGTGATTTTGTGTGGGTGGACTCCAGTATCGGGGTGCCGATTGGGGCGGAGGTGAAGGTGTCCGACACCGGACAGCTCCGGCTGATCGATGATGAGGGAAAGGTACAAAACCCACTTTTTTTCACTTCCAGAAAATTGAGTTCATGACTTATTATATAATGTAAACCCTTTTGTAACTTTCATACAGGAGCACAAGGTGAGCAAGAAGACGGAGGGCACCGTGCGGCCCATGCACCCCACCTCTGTGAAGGGTGTGGATGACATGATAAGGCTGGGGGACCTGCACGAGGCCGGGCTCCTCAGGAACCTCCTGGTGCGACACAAAGAAGGCACCATCTATGTAGGTTTCTGTTCCCTCTGCACCACCTAGTTTTATGATGTCCATAACCTGCTGTGAAATGCTTACTTGCTGTTATTGGCTCCTCTATTTCAGACTTTGGCCTGTGCTTTATCACAGTGCTGTTTGTCTCCATAGAGACAAATGAGCCTCTGTTGAAAGAGAACATCCCAGTGTTTCTGTTTCCACAAAGCTCAGCAGTGTGTGTTCAGTTATGAATCATTGTGTTGAATAAAAATACTATTGCTAAATCCTGGGGGCAAAATGTACAAAGGCTTTCATCTCTTTGTGTTATAACCCGCGGCGCTTAACACAGCGTTCATGATTTGAATCCGTCCATGAAATTGTTAGATCATATTTAGAACATGCAGATGATGCATTGCGGCCATGACCAAACTGGGGTCCCTGGCTTAATGCTGTGCCTACAACACAGTAACTGGTTTATGCGCATGTACACAAACATATTCCTCTACTGTGTCTAACTTAACCCCCCTCTGTTCTAAGACATACACAGGCTCCATTCTGGTGGCAGTCAACCCTTACCAGCTGCTGCCCATCTACACCACGGAGCAAGTGCACATGTACACAGACCGCCGGCTGGGTGAACTGCCACCACACGTCTTCGCCATCGCAGACAGCTGCTTCTTCAACATGCGCCGCAACAAGAAGAACCAGTGCTGCGTCATCAGGTGGGCTTCAGTCAGACGCTGGTCCTGATCACTAGTTCTGCTTCAAATCATCCATTCATCAAATAAGCCTTCATTTTTAGAAGGGAGACTCACTGAGAGCAGACTCTCTTTTGCAGTGCCCCGTTTACAATACACAAGAAGATAGTGTGAAAATGTATACTTACCTATTATAGACAACATTGTAAAGCGGCCCCATTTGTGAGTCAAATGATGTGGCTGCAATACAAATATGTATTATCACTGATTTCTAAGAGTAAACTGATTGTCTGACAGTTTATGGAACAAACAATTATTGTTTTTTAGAGAAAAGGTATGGTGGATGAATTGATGATACAGATACTCATGTTCACAGCCAACATGACCATGAGATACCATAGAAAAGCTACTGGAGACAAATACAGGATGGCAAGAGCCAAAAAAGCAAGAAAGACATTCACATTAAGATTAAAATGTCAAATGGGCAAAATTCAAATGTAAAATATTCATATTTAACTGTAATTGATAAACGTATTAATGTGAAATGTCCAAAAGTATTTAGAAGATTATTCCATTTGTAAGGTGCAAAGAAATGAAAACTGATTTTCCGAGGGTACCATACATAGTAGGGATATGTAAGAGCACTGCATTGTAGGGTTATTAAGGCTCCTGAAGGCAGGATGGATGTGAAGATTCATTCTTAATTTCAACAGGTAAAGCTTTAGTTGTTGGAGGCAACTTTTAAAGAATTGCAACCATGCCACTGAGCATAAAGTGCTTGCTCATGTGTGTCTGCATATACATTGATTCAACCATTAAAAGCATACAGGGGGGGAAGACAACTTAAATTGATGTTGATAATTTTCAAACAATGTTGACAGGGGTTTAAAACAGACATTTAGCTTGGAAACAGTGAAAGGCATTTTAAAGACGGTAAATAATTTAAATATTGAATAATATTGTTGCCCCAGACTGAGGCCCTGAATAAGCCCTGTTCAATAGCTTCTTCATATTTCCTCTTTGCAATTCATTGCATCTTGTTTGTCGTTCATGTATTCATGTGTATTTTTAAGTACTTGATATGAATGAATCCTATTGTTTTTACTCTAAATATCATTATAAAGTAACGTTTATTTTTCAAAACCTACCTTATTAAATGAATTTCCTCTGCATGTGTCACTTCTGTCTCCCCATCAGTGGAGAGTCAGGAGCAGGGAAGACGGAGAGCACCAAGCTCATGCTGCAGTTCCTGGCTGCAGTGAGCGGACAGCACTCCTGGATCGAGCAGCAGATCCTGGAAGCTAACCCCATCCTGGAGGGTATGGGCAAAAAGTCTGAAACTATAAAACAGTCTTCATAATCTGCTGTTTCGCTTAATCTGCTGTGTTGTTTTCTTCTCAGCCTTTGGTAATGCCAAAACCGTTCGTAACGATAACTCCAGTCGATTTGGAAAGTACATTGACATCAACTTCACCAAGGGGGGGGCCATTGAAGGGGCCCGCGTTGAGCAGTACCTTCTGGAGAAGTCGCGAGTTTGTCGTCAGGTGGAAAAATGTGTTATGAGCAGAATATTTGCAAGAGCAGTAAATTGGGACAGTTCAAATGTTCTTGTGATAAACATGTTGGTCCACATGCAGGCGCCGGAGGAGAGGAACTACCACATATTTTACTACATGCTGATTGGAATGCCAGCCGAGCAGAAGAAGATTCTTTCCCTTGGGAACGCTGCGGAGTACAACTATCTGACCATGGTACTAGAATACTTTGGCAAACTGTGAAATGTTTATATAATTGTGATGGATAGTGAAGATACAAAAGAGCCAGTTAATCTCATATTACAAGATCAAGGTTCAAATCAATCAGTAATTAAGCTGTAAACCATGTGATCATATCCCCAGGGTAAATGCACCAGCTGTGAAGGACGTGATGATGTAAAGGAATACGCCCACTTCCGCTCAGCTCTGAAGATCCTCATGTTCACAGACAATGACTCCTGGGAAGTCTCCAGGCTGCTCGCTGCTATCCTTCACCTCGGCAATGTGGACTACGAGGGTAAAGACAGCACCATACGAGGGGATTAGCACACCAACACACATACTGTATATAGTTGCATTTTTTAGCCATTACTTATATTTGTTTTGCATTCTTTCAGCCACCATAGTAAATAACCTAGAGGGCTGTGACATCCTCCAATCATCCCATTTCAAAATGGCCAGCCAACTTTTGGAGGTATGATTTTTTTTTTATTACAAATCTTAACTAAGGTGCTGAGATGAACTGTTCTTACTGTGATTGCCTCTTACCTCAGGTGGATCCCAAAGCGCTGGAGAAGAGTCTGACTCAGCGCTCCTTCTTGACAGCCAAAGAGAGTGTGACCAAACCTCTGGCCTCGGCCCAGGCGGTGGACTGCAGGGACGCCTTCGTCAAGGTCACATCACTCTTCATCCATGATTTGCAGCAAATTCAGCTTATTTGAACAAAAACTAAACCAACCTTGTGATGATATAATGCTCATACACATTAGAGAACAAAAGTGATGGATGATAAAACTGAGAAACTTTTTAATTCTGTACCACCCTTAGGCAACAATTTAAACCTAATGTGGCCGTTTGAGGACTTCTTATAATAATAATAATAATAATAATAATAATACATGGGACTTTTATAGCGCTTTGACAGAGAATTAAGAGGAGAAAAAAAGACAAGAGAAAAAAAGTAGATAACAAAGAAATACAAAAAGAGATAAACAGAACAAAAAATAGGGGGGAGGGGGGTGGTCAGTGGTTGAATGCAGTGTTGAACAGGTGAGTTTTGAGTGATGTTTTGAATGCTGTGAGGGAGGAAGAATCTCTGATGGATTGGGGTAGTGAGTTCCAGAGGGTGGGTGCAGCAACGGAGAAGGCTCTGCCGCCCCAGGACTTGAGGGTGGTCCGGGTGGGGGGGGACAGGAGGTTGGCAGAGCGGAGTGGGAGTGTGTCTGTGGAGGAGGTCAGTCAGGTAGGATGGGGCCAGGTTATGGAGGGCTTTGTATGTTATCAGGAGGATCTTGTACTGAATTCTCTGGGGGATGGGGAGCCAGTGGAGATGAGAAGCTGGATGTTGTCGGCAAAGCAGTGGAATTGAAGTCCATAACGGCAGATGAAGTGACCAAGGGAAAGCAGGTAGAGGATGAAGAGGAGGGGGCCGAGAACTGAACCTTGAGGGACACCTTGGGGGACACCTTGGGGGAGAGGAGCGGTGGGGGATTTGCAGTTATTGATGTAGATTAACTGGTTTCTGTCAGAGAGGTATGAAGTGAACCAAGAGAGGGCAGTGCCGGTGATGTTGAAAGTGGTTTCAAGACGGGTGAGGAGGATGGAGTGATTGATGGTGTCGAAGGCAGCGCTGAGGTCAAGGAGGATGAGGATGTTGAGGTTACCAGCATCGGAGGAGAGGAGAAGGTCATTTGTAATTTTGAGGAGTGCGGTTTCGGTACTGTGGTTTGAGCGGAAAGATGATGCTTGAGTTGTGACGCTACAGTGCGTTCCAGAACTTTTGACAGAAAGGGTAGGTTCGAGATTGGTCTGAAGTTATTAGGGTTGTCAGGGTTTAGTCCGGGTTTTTTCAGAATAGGGGTGATAGCAGCTATTTTGAGGGATGGTGGGACGGTGCCAGAAGACAGGGAGGAGTTGATTGCTGTAGTGATGAGTGAAGAGAGTGGGAAGGCAGGCCTTAACAAAGCTGGAGGGAATGGGGTCCAGGGTGCAGGTGGCAGTTTTCATTCCTGTGAGGAGATCAGAGAGGTCAGTAGGGGAGACAGGGGAGAACTGGGACAGGGGTTGGCAGGATAAGGGGGGGCAGGTGGCTTGAGGGAGAGCTGGTGTGGTAGTGGTTAAGCTGCTGTAAATGTTGTCTATTTTGCTTTGACATATTTTGAGAAAAGAGCTGCATTTGTCGACTGTGAATGACTGAGAGGTGGTGTCCAGGGGGCTGAGGAGTTTTTTTATTGTGGAGAAGAGTGTTTTGGGGTTTCCGGAGCCAGAGTGGATTAACTGAGAGTAGTAGGTGGTGCGGGCATGGGAGAGGGCATCTTTATATTGCTGTAGGTGGTCTTTGTAGGTTTGAGAATGAATTGTGAGACCTGTTTTATTGCGGAGTCTTTCAAGTTGCCGGGCACGGGTTTTCATCAGACGGAGTTTAGGGGTGAACCAGGGAGCAGAGTGGGTGAAGGAAACTGTTTTGGTTTTTATGGGTGCAAGTTGGTCAAGGCAGGAGGACAGAATGTTGTTGTAGTAGTCAGTGAGATCAGAGGGGCTATAGAGGTCCACAAAGGGAGTGGTGGATATTTTTTCAGAGAGGGAGGATGAGAGCGAGGTAGCTGAAACACAGCTTAATTTACGGAAGTTGATTTTGCGTTTTTGCTTTGGTGGTGGGGTGGGAATGTTGATGGTCATGGTGATGGCTAAGTGGTCGGAGAGGAATAGGTCTGAGCCAGACAGATGGTGAAGGTTTAGTCCAGTCGAGCAAACAAGGTCCAGAATGTGGCCACGGTTATGGGTCGGAAAGTTGACATGTTGAATGAGGTTGAAGCAGTTAAGCATGTCCGTGAAGTCTGTAGTTATTGTAGAGTCAGTGGAGTCCATGTGGATGTTGAAATCACCAAGTAGGAGGACTGAGGTGGAGAAAGAACAGAGCTGGGTCAGAAATTCAGATAAATCAGAGAGGAATGATGGGTTTGGTGTGGGAGGGCGGTAGACAACTGCCAGGAGTGACTGTGTGTGACCAGAGAGTTTAAAAGCCAGGTGTTCAAATGAAGGAGCAGATGAGATGGGGATGAGGCTGGTTTTATTTGAGTATCCATTGGGTGTAGTGAGGTTGAGTGAGAGATAATCCAGAGGTTGTTGCCAGGTTTCTGTCAGACAGAGAAAGTCCAGTTTATTGTCCAGAATGAAGTCGTTGAGAATGTGGCTTTTATTGTTGAGGGACCGGGTATTGAACAGAGTGAGCTTCATATTGCTTTGTGTGGTGAGGATTAACTCAGGTGTCATTGCCAGGGCTTGCAGACAGGGGGAGCGCACGTCTGTATTGTTGTGATGACATAGTCGAAAGGTGGGTGTGCGCTCAGCTGACCAGAGTACAGGGATGGAGTGACCTGTGTGAAAGTAAACAAACTTGCGACCGGAGCCTCTATGGATGTATCTGGTTCGTTTTAGAAGTTCGTGGTTTTTGATGGCAGAGATGCATAACGGTGTGGAATGGTTGTTGAGTTGTAGAAGTCTCGCAGCGGAGTACCTCAATGCCATGCCAGGCAGGAGAGACGGAGCGTTGAGTGGACAGGTGAGCCGGGCAGCCGCTAGCATTAGCAGCTAGCGGGTATCCTGCAGCTTGATGACTGCAGAGATGCAGGCAGCTAGCTCCAGGTAGTCCACGGAAGAGGGGTCCAGGCCAGCCAAAGGCAGGACACGTTTTGAAAAGTCCGGGAATGGGGTGGAGGCAGCGAGAAGCGGCGAGCAAACGACGCCAGCGTCCTCTCACATCCGGGAATTGATGATTACTTCTCAGACTTTACATTCGATATCAGTTATGTTCAGGTCTCTGAAACTCCTTCAATGACAGAAGAGATCATGTCCTCATAGGTGCCTGTAAAATATGTGTTTGTTGGGGTTTTAAACCTTAAGCTTAGTAACTCAACATTACATTATTACATTACATTGCATTTAGCTGACGCTTTTATCCAAAGCGACTTACAATAAGTGCGTTCGACCAACACGATACAAAATCATATAAGTACATCAGGTTTCATAGAGCTAAAACATTTCAAGTGCTACTCAACTGGCTTTTGATAAGCCAGTCCTTTATTAGTATATAAGTGCTTTGTCAGTAATTCTATCGCTCCAAGTGGAGTCGAAAGAGATGAGTTTTCAGTCTCCCCCGAAAGATGTGTAAGCTATCTGCTGTCCTGATTTCAATGGGGAGCTCATTCCACCATTTTGGAGCCAGGATAGCAAACCCACGTGTTTTTGCTGATGAGAACTTGGGTCCCCCTCGCAGTGCGGGTGCAGCGAGCCGTTTGGCCGATGCAGAGTGGAGTGCACGTGCTGGGGTGTAGTTTAACCATGTCCTGGGAGGGCCAGATCCATTCGCAGCATGGTATGCAAGTACCATTGTCTTGAAGTGGATTCTAGCAGTTACCGGAAGCCAGTGAAGGGATACTATGTACATTACATTACATAGCATTTAGCTGAGGCTTCTATCCAAAGCGACTTACAATAAGTGCAATAAAGATTCAAACTAAGGACAACAACATCTGTGCTGACATATTCACTTCAAACAAGCAACATCATTGTAAGTACTGATGCATAAGTAAAACTCTTAAGTGCGTTTTTGTTCCAATTAAGAGCCAGTTAGGATAGCAAAACATCCATCACATTAACAAAAGCAAATGTCCTCAATTTGACTTGTTAATTCATTTACTAACCAGGGGCGGATCTAGACAAATATTCATGGGGTGGCAAGAGGGTGGCAGGAGATTTTGAGGGGTGGCATCCCCTGACAGAAGTATATGCTGATTGAAATCGCAATCATATCAATCAATTAGGGGTGTAACGGTACACGTACCCGTACTGAAATTATCCGGTACGGGCCCTTCGGTTCGGTACACGTGTGTACCGAACGAATATAGCGTTAAACGTAAAAAATTGAGAACAACTTTCTGGAAGTAATCTCAGGTATATATCATAGAGCGACCAAGTCATTTCATTGGACGAGAGGCATACTATGAGAGCTGGTCACAGGGATGAGTTCAAATGTAGTCAGTAATTTGAGGAACTGTCGAAATGGCGAACGCAGATAAAGTTGAGCTGAAAATCCTCCAGCATCATTGAAGTCTCCGGTTTGGGAACATTTTGGTTTCGCAGTTACGTACAAGGATGACGGACAAAGACAGGTGGACCGAACCAAAGCTGTTTGTCGACATTGTTCAACTAACATTGGTTACGCGACTGGCAATACATCACACTCATTTGAAAAGGCATCACCGAACGTGAATATCACCGGTAACAAAAGAAAAAAGACTGAAGTGCAAACCCAACTCCCACTGCATGTAAGCCTCCACCACTCGCAGAGAGTTCAGACCGAGCCAAAGCTATTACAAACGCCAAGTATCCTTATGTTGCCATGTTAGCAAAGCGCTACCTGGCTGTGTCTGCTACCTCTGTCCCTAGAGAGGGTGTTCTCCACAGCAGGAGACATTGTTAGTGCCAGCAGATCTGCCATTTCAGCAAGCAATGTGGACAAGTTCATCTTTCTTTAGAACAACATGAGAATACAATGACAAGCAAGTCCTAATGTCAAGCCGGCTGCTTAGGTACTAGTACAGTTCAAATACAGATTATTTCAGTTCATCGAAATGCTGCACCTTAATGTTTATTTTACTATATTTTGTATTTATTTGAATACATTAGTCAGTTTAATAATAATAAAAACAAAATATTTAATGTTTTGTGATAATTTTTTCTGTTGTACCGAAAACGTACCGAACCGAACCGTGACCTAAAAACGAGGTACGTACCGAACCGAAATGTTTGTGAACCGTTACACCCCTACAATCAATGTTAACTTGGAAAGCCACAATATTAATATTTTAACTCAATCACATAGGTGATATTATTGTGGCACATCAGTAAAGCCTTACTAGGTGGCAAATGTAATTTAATGAATTTTAACTGAACAATAACTGAATGAGTTTGTCTCACTCTTAGACCAGCAGGGGAACCAAAACAGACTGCTGCAATAAGTACATTAATTAACTGTCTCATCGATGTTTGTCTGAATGAATATGATAATATTAACAATCATATTATTCCTATCAGCTGTCAATCACTGTTAATAAATAATAATAATAATAGATTTAATTTGTTAGCGTTTTTACAGGTGCTCAAAGAGGCTTTACAGATATAGTGAAGAACTGTTATGATTCACATATTCATTTATTATTGAATAAACTATATTTTTTGGAGGAGTTAATGATGAATGTTCATCAAGATGCTTGCTCACCCTCCTTCAAATTTGAAAAACAAGTAATTATATCATTATTGATATACAGTTACAACCTTGACTTTACATCAGAAAGAACAAACATTAAAGAAGTGACTAACTGCATCAGTTAGGGTTAAAAAACGTGTATTCAGCTAAAACATAAACATCGCTGCAGTTATTATCCAGTGGAAGGTCCTTACCTACTGGCCTAGTTAAACCAAAGTGGTTACTTTCTGTTGGCTGGGCAGTGTAGTTTTACACACCGTCTTATTTTACTTTCTCAGGACTTAAAACTGTTTTTTGGGGGCAGACCCCCTCAAAGAAAAAATATATATACACGCATACAAGGTCATCATCTTAACAGTTTGTTATTCTCATCGAGTCATCCGTGAGCAGAGCATCAAGTTGGCATGTCTATTACAGCTGAATGCGGCGATTACTATTTTGTTCAGCAAAACGCCTCACAAACGTATTAAGATCAACAGCTGTAGTGCGTTTTGATTCAATGCTCAGTACAGCCAAACTTGACATTCTCTTCTCTGTCATTGTAGACCGCAATTACCTCATTCCTTCAGTGCTTGGGTCCGAAAGGCTTCTTGTTTTGCGCCGTCCCGTTCAAATGAATTCGCCACCAAACATATTTCCACTCTCGCGCCAGGACCGGGGGAGGGGTTACATGACGTGGATCTTGTGCTGCATTCACTTGCACTCGGACATTAGAGACTTTCTCTCATAAATGTCCGATGAGCCACAACTTTTCTTTCAAAACAATGATGCCAACTGGGGTGGCAGCTGGGGTGGCAAGGCTATTATTTAGGGTGGCAGTTGCCACCCCATGCCACCCCGGTAGATCCGCCCCTGTTACTAACCAATGTTAGCATCCTAGTAACATGTAGTATTATTGAATAATGTTAAAACCTGTTAAGCCCCGAGCCTGTTTTTCAGGTGTCAGGCTCGAAAATGACATTCCCAGAACATATGACCATATATTCCCTTCTAAAAGGGTTAAATTAATAATCTTTTTTCTCAAAGCAAGGTTGCATCTGTGAGTTGGATGTAGAAGTGTCAGAATCAATATAGATGTTTTATTTTAAAGTAAATTCAGATTGAACACAGTAAATTGTAAATTATTGTGTCCGTCCAAAAAAAAAAAAAATTACTTATAGTGAAAACCACCCTTGAATGATGGGATGGTAGACTAAAAGCTTTAGGAATCCAAACTACAACATATTGTAACGATCACAAAGGGAGTCAGAAACAGGCTTCAAGTTATTAGGCTTTAATAACTCTTCTTAATCACAGATGCTCACAGGTTCATGCACAGCTTGTGGGTTCAACCTCACACTCATACTAACTCCCACACCTACTCCCATATATAACAGTGTCTACGTCACAACTTCCCCGCCCTCCCCCGTCTGCTCCCCCAACCACAGGCCCGCACCTCGACCAGCATCACTGTGCAGCTCTGTGATTGGCAGAGAGACGGGGGATGCCTGAGTGACACCCTCAGCATCCTATAGGATGCTGAGGGTCGCTACACTATAATAAGTACCCTGTATCAAGATTGATGCAAAACAAGTGAAATTTGACCTTTTTAGAGAGATTTAGCAAAAAAACCCACTTCTGGGGTCATTTGGGTGGATTTTCCATATCTCTGGCCCCCCTTGGTCGATCTTGATGATTGACATCTCTTTCTAACCGTCAGAGCCAATGGAATCGAGGGGAACTCCCACATACACGCACACATTACCAAATAAGGAGTGAGAGTGACGCATAGCCAAAACCGGAAGCTGCGATAACTCTGGTGGCTACCATTAGCAGCTAACTTTTTGTTTACATAAAAATGGAATTATGGATTATACATTTTTTTTTCAAAGCTATAGACACATTATCAACCTATGGATTAACCGATTCAGCCGCGTTTTTTCTCGTTTTAATGCCATTGAACACGTCTTTTGATCAGATTGACAGCTACGGTGAGACGATCTCCCGTAAAACCTCCGTAAAGGTAGTGTTGTGATGTCTGTGTTTGCTTCCCCTGTCGCGAGTTCGGATCTCTCAGTGATGATACTATACCTATATTATCTGTGGAACCTCAGCTTTAATCGGATATCTTGTATGTGCAGCTACGATAAGTAATAAGGGTATCTTTATCTTGACTTCTGTGCCAAAGTGCGTTAGCATTTTTTCGCTCAGGGGTCATTTAGATGCTTCTTATGAGACTTGTGTTTTGTTTTGGTAAAAATGGTTTGTATCGTCAGTTAGCTGAGATTCTTCCCGTTAATCTGGTATAACACATTAATAGGTTCTTAAATATTAAGATGCCCTGAGACCAGAGATGGAGTGTCGATTTTCGGGACTCGTGATCGACTCGGACTCGCGCACTGATTGACGTGACTTGGACTTGGACTCGTGAATTCTCGCGCACGATGACTTGGACTTGGACTCGGACTTGGACTCGTGAATTCTCGCGCACGATGACTTGGACTCGGACTCGTGAATTATCGCGTACGCTGACTTGGACTCGGACTCGTGAATTTCCCCCCCCACGATGACTCGGACTCGACTTGTACATTGACGCTCCGACTCGGACTCAAGCTAATTTTCTCTGGAGTCTGATGTCCTCTATCCTGGCGTGTGCACCTGCGAGGCGAGTTCACGTACTGGGCCCCGCTATTCCAGTCTAAATATGTCTAGAGACACACCCCGCATCGTGCTGTATGCTTTCACACATTCTGCTTCCACATTGGAAAAGAGCAGCGCAAAATGCTCGTTAAGTGGAAACAATATTGAAGAGAAGGCTCCATAACACATTACTCTAAAGGATCCAGTTCAGACATATAGGCTGTCTTGAACACTATCATCAGAGTAACTTGATCTAATCAATAAAGATTCAGCTGATAACACGAAAGCACATGGCTACTTAATGACGTCATTTTGCATGCTAAGTAGCCATGTGCTTTCTGAGGCTAAATCTTTATTAGTAAACCGATTTAACCGGTAAAAGTTCCTTCAAAATAAGATTCCCGATCTTATTACTATCAAAATAAAAGTGCACTATGAAAACTTTACCATAGGAAAATATTGGCATACAAATATAATCACTTCTCTTATTTATATATAATAATAATAATATTAATATTAGTAATAAGCTTTATATTTGTATAGTACTATTACAAGAATTGTAGCCAAACTGGCTTCACTGCAGTTCAATAGACAGATTAGTATAACATGACAGGATAAAAGCAATGTAGAGGAGCAGCTACATTTCAAAACATCAGCGTCAATGTACAAGTCGAGTCCGAGTCATCGTGGGGGAAAAAAATCACGAGTCCGAGTCCAAGTCAGTGTACGCGATAATTCACGAGTCCAAGTCCGAGTCGCGTCAATCAGTGCGTGAGTCCGAGTCGAGTCACGAGTCCCGAAAATTGGCACTCGAGTAGGCCTACTCAATCTCTGGGTTCTTGCCATAATATGGATTACAACAGTAGTCAAATAGGGCTTTCCACTGTGCACTAACTCTACCTCTGCTCAACACAACTGATGGTCTCAAACACATTCAGAAGGCAAGTCATTCCACAAATTGTCATGGACTCTTGACGAGGCACATGTGTTAATTAAAAACCATTCCAGGTTACACCTCATGACGCTGACTGAGAGAAGCCAAGAGTATGCAAAGCTGTCATCAAGGCAAAACGGGGCTACTTTGAAGAATATCAAATAAAAATCGTATTCTGGATTTTGTTTTTACACTTTTTTGTTAACTAGATAATTCCATATATGTTCTGTCATAGTTTTGATGTCTTCAGTATTAATCTACGAAGTAGAATCAAATTAAAATAAACAAAAACCATTGAATGAGAAGGTGTGTCCAAACGTTTGACTGCTGCTGTATATGTTACATATGTGAGGATTTATGCTAATGCTAAATTCATCCTTTTATGTACCTTTGGCAGTCACGACTAGTATTGTATTATCTGTTAGGGTACATGCTACACTAGCTAATATACATTTAGCATTGTAGCAACGTTCAGCATTAAATCATGTTAACATGATAAAGATACATGCTAATATATTGGAATTAATCTACTGTACAATATGCAAATATTTTTGACCAGCTTCTGAGCATGATTTTTAAATAGCCTACCCAAGTTTGGCCTCCTCTTTTCATGGCAGACCTGGCCAAGACAGCAGCTTAAAAAGTCTGGCAACAAGTACTAGAAACCGATAAGCCAGAAATAAAGCTAAAATCCGGCAAAGAGCAGAGTCATTTACCATAGCCTGAAAGCAATAACATAGGAGTTTGAGTCAACATTTATGACATTTCCATATTTTGTGTTGTTTTTTATTAAAGTGATTGTTGTTACGTAAAATATGTAGGTAACATATTCTCTATATTATTTGTCCAGGCTATTTATGGAAGACTTTTCCTTTGGGTTGTGGGCAAAATCAACGCTGCCGTTTACAAGCCAGCTGAGGATTCCAAAGAGGTCCGACAGTCGATAGGCCTGCTCGACATCTTCGGCTTTGAGAACTTCGCCAAAAACAGGTTCACAACAACTCCCATGACATTAGAGTGAGGCTGCATTGTTGAGACAAATTGACTAAATTCCCCCATCGTTCTTTCCTCTTGTGCTGTTTTTTGGACTGTTGGCAGCTTTGAGCAGCTGTGCATCAACTTTGCTAACGAGCAGTTGCAGCAGTTCTTCGTCAGGCACGTTTTCAAGCTGGAGCAGGACGAGTATTCCCGTGAAAACATTGTTTGGCAGCACATCCAATACCAAGACAACCAAAGCACCCTGGACGTGTTGGCCAACAAGTCTCTGAACATGATGGCGCTTATCGATGAGGAGAGTAACTTCCCCAAGGTCTGTATCCTCCTCGTACCTCATCAGATTTTAAAACAGAGCAAATCAGGTTTTACCTTTAATTTGTTGTTATTTTGTAGGGCACAGATGCCACACTGCTCCAAAAGATGAATCAGGTCCATGGTAAAGGGGTCATCTATATTCCCCCCAAGAACAACTATGAGACACAGTTTGGAATCAAACATTTTGCTGGAGAAGTCTTCTATGATTCAAAAGGTACTTTTAGAGCTTTTAGAAGCAGCAAGTCATTCAAGTGCAAGTCCTATGTGATGTTTTTATTGTGTCTGTCTTGCTTTGAGGTTTTCTTGAGAAAAACCGCGACGCCCTCAGCTCAGATCTGATCCAGCTGGTTGAAACCTCCACCAACAAACTCCTCAAACAGGCCTTTCACGATGTGCTGTCTTCCAGTACCATCAAGAGCAGTGTGAACCCCAGGATGATCATCACCTCGGCCAGCAGCAGCCTCCGGGTCAGAGAAGCTTTGAGCTTCAGCAATAGATAAAGTAGTACATTAGTTGATGTAATTACCAACACTATCTGACATTTGTTTGTGTCTGGCAGCAAGCGAGTGATGGCAAGAAGCGTGTGCCGACCCTGACCGGCCAGTTCCGTCAGTCTCTGGATTCCCTCATGAAAACGCTGACTGTGTGCCAGCCATATTTCATACGCTGCATCAAACCCAACGACTTCAAGAGACCCATGGTGAGAAAAGAAGCTGCATTCACTCCAACCAAACCAACATATTTAATTATCTACCAACAGTGAATGAGATGTGCTTCCTGTGTCTCAGCTGTTCGACAGAGAGCTGTGCATGCGCCAGCTCCGTTACTCTGGTATGATGGAGACCATCAGGATCCGGAAAGCTGGATATCCCGTACGATACACATTCGAGGAGTTTTTAATTCGCTACCGTGTGCTTCTCAGAACTTCCCTCTGTGATCCCAAAAAAGTATGTTGGAGGTTTGATCATTTTTATCATCACTTCCTTACACCTTTGCTTATCCTCTCTCTCTGGTTTGAATTATGGATATTTTTGCTCTCACAGGAAAGTAAACAGAAATGCTGTGAAAGCATTTGTGAATCTGTGCTGAGTGGAGAGGGCGACTGGAAGACTGGCAAGACCAAGATATTCCTCAAGGTGCTTATTGTACAGTCTGCTGTTACTGATATGTGTGTGTTGTATGCAACCCAAAACTAATTGCAAAATCTGACCAATGCTGATACCTTATGTTGAATATTTGTAATACATGCTGTGTAGTGTACTGTTTAAGTAATTACAGTTCAGAACAACTAATCCAGCTTTACAAATTCAAATAGATTTTTATTTATATTATTAGAGAAAGCCAAATATAACTTTTAGCTTGGTGTGGCTCCTAAAATGTCAGTGTTTGTATCACAATCATCCAAGACTGGAATGTTTTCCTCAAAACACCTGTTCTTTGTGTTACTAAGTGCAATGTCTAAACAACAAGCAGACGGACATTGAGTGCACATATTCATATCCTGGGGAACAACACAACTTTGCTTTATTTCAGTCCGACAGGTTTATCAAAATATCCGCAAAACTATGTCCCCCACCCCAGCTTCAACTGTTTATTGTTAATTAGCTAATGTTAGAATGTTTGAATCCTACTTACCTAACGGGAACTTATGTATATATATATAGTATATATATTGTAGGAAATAAATATCTCCACCAACAAAAAAATAAAAAAACGTGCTACTGTTTTCTTTCAGGACTTCCATGACACTATACTGGAACTGGAGCGGATGAAAGAACTTAATGAGAAAGCACTTCTGATCCAGAAAGTCCTGAGAGGATACAGATACAGGTTTGGGGAAAAAAGCTTGGAAATGACATTTATATTTTGCTTATGTGACTTGCATCCTCATGTCTGAATGACTCTTTCCCTCTAAAGGAGGGAATACCTGAGGAAAAAGGCAGCTGCTCTTGTCATTCAGAAGCACTGGAGAGGACACAAAGGCCGAAAGCTGTACAAAGTGGTGAGTCACTGTTTCACACATTGCCATCTATTAATAGGAAATGCAGGGAATCATGCGATATCCCCCTTCAATGCTGTTCCAACTCTAGGTCCAGCACGGCTTTGCCAGGCTGCAGGCTCAGGTCCGATCCCGCCAACTTCACTTCCTGTACAAGAAGAAGCGCGAGGCGGCCGTCGTGCTGCAGGCCCGAGTCAGAGGATACCTGGCCAAGAAGGAATGGAAACGCAAGAGAGACGCTGTGATCCTCCTGCAGGCGCACACCAGAGGGGGGCTGGCCAGAAAAGCAGTCAGAAAGATGAAAACAGATGTAAGTTTAACCAGAAGAACTGTGAAGACCCCTCTCTAAGTGACACCTGATGGTGGTCAAAGTCCCTGCTGGTTATCTGTTACAGTTCTCTGATGTCACCCAGCCTCCCTATCAGAGGAGTTCATGTAACCTTTCATCAACACCACGTCATGCTCCAGATGTCCTTCGGCTTATTTTACCACATATTTATTTACATTTAGTAAATGTCAGTATAACAACAATTTGAATTTAAATATGATATGAATATAAAAAATCTACTGGAGTGTAATTATGTATGTACGGTAATATTAATTCCTTAAAGCCATGGATGTGAGTGGCACCTCTGGTACTTTGGTTACTTTGACTGAGCAGGAAGCTTTATCCCTGATCTTCTTTTGTATTCTTTCAGATGTACCTCTCTGCCAAAGAGAAAGAAGAAGAACGGCGGGTAATTTTGGAGAGACAGAAACATTTGGAGGAAGTGCTGAGGCGGAAGAAGGAGATGGAGGCCAAAGCTCAGAATGAGGCCATCACAGACCAGGAGATGGTGGACAGCATTTTTGATTTCCTGCCTGTAGTGGTTGGAGGGCAGGAGGGGCAAGCCCCTGTAGGATTTGAGGTTTGAATAAAAAAAAAAAGGCTTTGCACATTTGGATTTCCTTGTGAAGTCAGTCACTGCATGTCTGTTCTGTTTTCAGAAATTTGAGCTGAAAAAGACAATTACTGAGGAGATAGACATCGACGACGTCCCCATGGAGGAAGATCTTCCCAGAGGCGACGATGATGACGACGACCTGGATGAGTACTCCTTCTCCAAATTTGCCTCTATGTACTTCCAGGGTGCAGCCACCCACACCCACATCCGCCAGAGGCTGCTGCAGCCCCTGCTCTACCACGAAGATCAAGGAGATGTCCTGGTGCTTCCCTTAGACTACGTTAATTCATAATTTCTCTGGTTCTTATACGAGGAACGTCTTTGTTGGCCATCAACTTACCATTGTGTTTCTGTGATGTTACCTTCAGGCTTCCATGACAGTGTGGTGGATCATCCTGAGGTTTTTGGGAGACTTCCCTGAGCCCAAGAAGCAGGTTCGAGGAAGCTCTACGCAGGAGCGCTTCATGCCGCAGGAGCTCATCTCCAGAAAGGACCGACGCCTCAGCCACATGGTCGGCCTGGATCAGGTAGATATCCTGACAGAGAGCAGTATTATGATTTACATTGTGTAAAATCATGTTGTATTAGGGCCATTGTAGGTCAAACTGTTGTTTAAAATGTACAGAACAGTTGGAGGGGGTTAGTTAGAGTCGTTCATTTAGGAGAAAAAAACGTGGATAAAAAAGACCAACTCTGAGATCAAAGGAAGAAATTCACGAGAAAACAATCACACTGACTGCAAAGTTCAATGTGCTTAGGTCCTCCACTGCAAGTGTTTCCTGATCCATTCTTGCACAGTGAATCGGTGTGGTTCCTTGAAACCCTTTTCTTCTTGCAAGTGTTGGCTTTCTTCCTGGAAAGTCTGTGAAATAGTTTTATCTCAGAGTAAATCCACTTTTTCTCTGGAAAATCTATGACTATCACATATATCTTTTTTAATATAACCCTAATGCCCAAATACAAAAATATGAATCTACAATGACTTTCATATACATTGTACAGTTATCATATATTTAAAATGTATTTCCTGTTGAATGTTTTAGAGGGTGCTGAGGAATAAAAATGAAAGGAAGCCTTCCACATTACCCGAGGAACCAGGACAGAACAGGAAGGGCTCCATGTTCACAGACCTGCTGGCCAGGAACAGGAAGCCTTCTGCTATGCCTGCAGAGGCAGCAAACCCCAAGGTGTACACTGTGCCAGAGGGGAGCCCTCGAACCAGGAAGGGTTCCACATTCACTGACCTACTGACCAGAAACAAAAAAGCTTCCACTGCTACAGAAAGTGCACCCCCCACCTCAAGCCTCAGGAAACCTTCCATCATCATGGAGGAGGTGAGGTGTAGGACGAAGAAATATTCTGACTTGCTGTGAAGTTTTATTCTGTCACTTATATACTGAGGGATGTCTTCTTTCTTTCAGTCCGACGATCTGACGGAAGTGTCCAAGCCTCCCACCCTGCAGAGTGTGAAGGAGGACGGGGACCTCATGGAGGGGGAGGGAGAGGGACCCACCCTGGACCGGCCGCTGACCTCACTGGAAAAACTCCACATCATCGTGGGATATGCCATCGTCAGACGTGACCTTAGGTAACAGAAGATCCATTTAAAAGTCACATAAATCCAATATCACCAATAAACTTATATATGGACAATGATTTTCTTTTATTACACATTTACTGAATTGTTAAGTTTGAATGAAGTATTTCCTTATTAAATATGGGCAATCACTTCCAGAACAGTAGTCTGCACATTGAATCACGCCAGGTTCAAAAGTCAAGTTTCATTTTGCTGTCTTTTTTACTAAGGGGGATATATTTGTATTAAAACATAAATAAAAAAACATAGTCAACAGTCATAGAATAGCCATGTTTTTAGGAATACAATGTTGTATAGGCCTGGCTATGAATGATTTATGAACAACTGTTCAAACCTTTAGAATATAGATAGGAGTGACAGTTTGGTGTATGCAAGTGATACTCAAGTGCAGATTGTTGAATCAGCATAGTTTTAGAAAAAAAGTAATTAGAACAGGTTTAAAATAATCTCATTTAGCTTATTAAAAGAGAAATCTACAGAAACAAAGATACAAAGTTGGCAACATAAAGCCCTTGGATGCCTTCTTTCTGCTAGTCTGAAAAAAAGGCATGTAATGAATTCAAAATAGCCCAAACTTACCAGTGATTACAAATGTATGTGCCTAGTGTCTTACCGTAAACTCTCTACTATTACAGTATGTGTTCTGTTGTCTGTCCAGGGATGAGATTTACTGTCAGATCTGCAAGCAGCTTCAAGACAACAACAATCGCAACAGCTACTTCCGCGGCTGGATCCTGCTGTCCCTCTGCCTGGGAGTCTTCCCCCCCAGTGATCGCTTCATTAGGGTAAACACAGATCTCTGATCAGTGTGTAGCATGCTGTGGGATGACTCTCACCTCTTCTCATCTCTTGCCTCGGCAGTATCTGCAGAGCTTCATCCGGTTCGCTCCAGGAGGCTACGCCCCGTACTGTGCAGAGAGGCTGCGGCGCACCTTGCTGAACGGAGTGCGGGGGGAGCCTCCAGCCTGGCTGGAGCTGCAGGTACTGCCACTCCCATAATATGCTCATGCTATTATTTTAAATGTGTTCATATGCATTGCATTTATAGAAATTGTAGAATTAAAATTCACAGCTACAGCAGCCTAGTGTTCTGATCCATTCTCTGAACAGAAGGATTATTCTGAAAAAGTCTTAAATTCCTACGTTTTTTATAAACCAAAAGGTGTTTTAACTAGGATGGTTTTCAAAGTGAGTGGCTTTTTCTAAACACAAATGGCAAAAGTTTCAAAATATGAAATTAAATAAAATTATTTATTTCGCTAGATAACTTTCTGAGAAAAAAAGAAATTAGCCGGGGAATTGTTATGTCTTTGGTCTGGATAGTATTTCAAATCATATACCTTATTTTTACATTTAGTACGTACAGCAGCTGCCCTTACACAGCAAGACTTTGACCCTTTTGCTCATGTGTTTGCTGTGCAAAGGGTTGTGGGTCTGAACAGCCAGAAAACCATTCTAGGTTTCATTCTGCAAACTGCGACTGGATGCAGAAGCAAATTGGAGTGGACCTACGACATGTTTTAAGGGATAAGACATAGTGTGGTTTTATGGGTATTGGACATGCTGAAGGTTTTGTTGTTGTAATGCTTCTTTCGGCCACAAGAGGATGAACTGCACAGCTACCCCTGTTCTAATGTTCCCATTGTAAACCTCGCTGTCAACAGAATGAACTTCACACGCACAGTTTATATCAATGCTGTTTAATCAACATGATTTGTTTGGCTGCTCTGTGATAGGCAACCAAGACAAAGAAGCCCATGATCGTGTCTGTGAACCTGATGGACGGACGCTCCATCAACCTGCCGGTGGACTCCTCCTCCACCTCCAGAGAGATCTGCCAACTGCTCTCCAACAAAATCAAACTCAAAGACACATTTGGCTTTTCTGTCTACGTCGCCTTGTATGAAAAGGTGCGCAGTTCCATCCTCGGGTGTAAATATCCCTGTAGTAGGCGATAAGGAGATCTGCTATTGATGATCTCACCGATTCTTTGTACTTTGTTCTTTACAAGATATTTTATTTATATTTTTTATTTGCCTTTGATAAGGCTCATGTCAGCATAAGACTCATGTCAGCATTAAGTCAAAGTAGCTTATGTAGCGTATGCCCCATAGCTGCTATTCATCCCTTTTCTGCATGTAAATACACTTTACAATGTAAACAGATGGGGTCCATTTGTATTGTAATAAATAATAAAATGACTGGGCCATGGTAGGTGACTAATATTCAGATGAAAAACTCTCTCAGATTAAAGGGGTAATTTTACAAGGAACAACTCATACGTATTTTCTCATTCATTATAATTATTCATTGTAATAAGGTTGATTTAGCCCTTGCAAAGCGAGGACGGTCTTTTGCACTTTCATCTCAGAGAATATTACATTTTTGTGAGTTTTTACTTTTAGATGTAGCTATCAGAGAATATCCAATATTCTTTTGGATATTAAAAATCATTTGGTTTTGAACTTTTTTTCCCCCTTAGAAAGGTCCTACTATGCCACTTCATGTTTTAGTGATTTTAAAATACCTACCAATCCATACCTTAACACGCTGACCTGTCCTGAAGGTGTGGGCTCTGGGCAGCGGCCGGGAGCACGTGATGGACGCCATCTCCCAGTGTGAGCAGGAAGTGAAGAGGAGGGGGGGGCAGGAGCAACACGCTCCCTGGCGGCTCTTCTTCCGCAAGGAGGTTTTCACCCCCTGGCACGACTGCAAAGAGGACAAGATCAGCACAGAGCTCATCTACAAACAGATCATCCACGGCCTCAAGTTCGGAGAGTACCAGAGTAAAAAGGTTGGGGGTTTTATTGATAAGGACTTATTCTGCACATTTTCAGATTCATATCAGTATGTAGTGTCTCTACTGGGACATGTCTCCATGCTTTAATGTTCAAAAAGCTCTTTATTATTCTCATACTGCCTGTGCTGCATCACCTCTTTTCACCCTCTGTCTGAAACCAGAGCCCAGTCTGCTCTGATTGGTTAGCTGCCTGGCTCTGGCAGTTTCAGGCAGGGGGGGAAGAGGGATGATTGCCTTTGTTGTACATTTACATGCGCAAAAACCTATATCACACTCTATAGGAAAGGGAAAACCCCAAAAAGCAGAATAGGGCCTCTTTAAAGTAAGGTCTTCTTCCGGCCTGTACTTTTATTGTGAGATATACATTGGCCTTCAGTAGCGGGCCGTGAATTTCACACCTTGGCCTTCAATAGTGTCCTACCTGAATCATCCACTTTTTAATACCATCATTATTACGTCACTATAGAAACCATCAATATTATACAGAAACGCAGTATAACAGTCTGCATCACAGACAGGTATCTTATGTAGCGAGAATGAATGCCATTACTAAAGCAAGAAACCCATAGCAGAACTGCATCAATATTTACTTAATAAAATGACAAGAAAATATGAAAACATTTCAATTAAAGTCATGATAACAATACGTTTTATTATTTGTACTCAAAATACATCCTCCTTTCTTTCCTCAAGAAGAGTTCAATGATTATCTGAGCATTGACCTGATTGGTCAATACAACAGTTTCATTTCCATTTGTTTTGACTCACTCACAGCACTGTTGATTCTGAAGGCCTCAGTGCAGATCTATTTGACCTAGCAACACATTCTGAGTTAAATAGGATTGGATAAAAGCTCCAACATTAACAACCATTACTGGACTCAGAGAAAGCTATAAAATGAAGAGAATAGACTATTGGAAATAATTTAATACGTGTTAATGAAAATATATTAAAAGGTTATTCAGGGGTTCTGATAGTGTTTAGGCCAGCAGAGAAGTGGCCTAACCACCGATTGACTTGTTTCCCTACATTTCACTTCCACAGGAGGATGATTTGGTTCAGCTCACTGCAAAACATGTGTACATCCAGCATGGCTCTGAGAGCAGTGCAGAACATGTGAAGGAAGCTGTGCAGGACTGCATCAACAGCTCTCTGCTGGAGGCCAAGTCTGAGGCCAAGTGGGTGCAGATGGTCAGCTCTGCTCACGCTCAGGTCAGTCCCTCACAGCACCGGACACACAGTGAGCCTCGCAGCTCTGAGGAGATTTAAAGTTCCAGTCTGCTTTTCTCAACACCCTAGGGTCCTTATGTGAGTTCAAGACAGAAGGCGGACTCTGTGAAGGCGGAGATGGTGGACTACGCCCGGGAGAAGTGGCCCATGTTCTTCTCCCGCTTCTTCGAAGTTGTCAAGCTGTCAGGTAGGAATCATCTCGCTCTTGTTATTGTTGTTCGACAAGCAATGGATAATGTGCAGCCAGCCAGCCTAATAAATATCTTATTTTCTTATTATCCCTTAAGGCGTTTCTTTAGTGTTTCTTTAGTGTTTACTTCCTGTCTCTCTTCTTCTGCTGATTTCTCTGTCCTCTAGCTCGCTGTGTCTTTTTCATTCCTCCTCTTGTGCTGTTTTCCTGTTCTTCTTCTCCTATTCATTTTTTTAATATTCAAATAGTATCAGATGTAAAATAAGTGATTTTAGGCCACTGCTGAAGGTGTTCAATTTACCAGACTTCTTTCTGCTTGAACGTTGATCAGAGCATCCTTAGCAACAGTGTGCTATCCTAGCATAGCATCTGGATAGCAGACCGCAGGATGTCCAAACTGACATAATCGGGTATTCTGTATTGTAATGACTAATAACAGTCTTTTTACTTCATTAATAAAGTAATATGAGTAATAATGTGTCATTGCCTGAAAGCATAGCACTTGCTATCTGTTTCTATCAGGTAAAATACTTTTTTACATTTTCAGGCATTATTATATTTTTACTTCAAGAAATGATTCCAAAGCATTTTCCAACCTGAATCCTGTGTGCCTCTTTGACAGCAGCACATGTGATCATTACTTTGACTGCTTCTGTTGCTTCTCCAGTCATTACACTGAACTTTGAACAAGACTAAGAGTTCAGCTTTATTTTAACCATACTTTATCAAAAACTCTATTTGTTGTTATCTACAAATTACCTTTATTAGTATCTAATGGGGTAAGACTTGCATTCAAAGCTTGTATCAAAAAAGTGTTGGTTGATTTCCTCCATAAAATGTTGAATATGAAAATGTGCAGCTACAGCACATAGTAGCCTCTGTTCGTTCATTATTTTTATTTTGTTATACTGTTGATTGTCATTTTTGTATCTGTTTGTTCATTTATGACAAATAACAAGTAACAAAATAACTTTGCAGTGATACAAAAATTAAATTATGATTCTTCAGAAGGAATGTCACAAAGACACAAAGAGAGTTGTATTTGTTAGTTTTATGTTTTATTACAGTAGAACATTAAAACAGTATAAGTTCCGCACTTTCCTCAGGACCAAGCCACAACACTTTTAATGATCCGCAGTGAAGCTGTTTACCCAGCATGCTCTGAGCAAATGAGCTGTTGTTGTGTTTTGTATCTATGTCAGACTGAAATATAAGAGGATATTGATAATAATAATAGTTACACTCCACCCATGCCCGGCGCCGTGGGAGGGCCAGGCCCTCCCATTTGACATTCTTGCCCTCCCCCAATAAACACGATTTTTATTATTTATAAAAATGTAAAAAAATGTTTTTAATTTTTTTTTGTTATAAATTAACTGTGAACTTTTATGCTGCGATGTATCTGATGTCAGATAGTAACTAAAACAAAAAAATCGCAGGCTACGTCAAATCAATTCATGTGTCTGTTGTGATTTGTGATTCGTCCACATTTAGACCAATCACAGCGTCACACTCTGCCGCCTATTCTGGATTTGTTTATTGTTTATTGTGCATTCTGTAGACTCCCATTTCTGTTTGAATTACAAAATGGACATCAGAAATTGGCTTAAAAGGTCTAAGGATTTATTAAAACGAAATAGCGATGAAAGAACTGCAGCCGATGGTGCTGCTGGCGACCCTGCACCTGCCGTTGCAGCAGCACGCCTTAATGTCACAAGCTTGACCTCGGCAAACCCCGGGGCTGAGTTAGCGAGCCCAAGCCTTGACTCATCAAGGCGGCCGCCACCAACGCTGTCCTCCGAGGCACAGCTCCTTGTGCCCCTACCATCACCACCTGCGTTGCCACACCCTGTACCACACCCGCCAGCATCCTCCTCCTCCGTGCCGGTGCCTCCACTACAGACGCTACCTTGCAGCACATCAACAGGTACTATTGGGCCAGCAACCGCTCAAAGACCAACAGCCCCAGATGATCTTGGGGTTAATAAACCCAAGCAGGTGAAACTGGATCGTTATCCATGGAGATTGTTTTCAGGAAATAAGCCACTTTTGCCGCTGCATGGTACAACAACAGACCACGGCTTGAAGATTCGTTAAAAGCAGACTCAGCCTTTTGTTTCCCCTGTAGACAGTTTAAAGTAAATACGTCTTCATCTGATGCGGCTTTTACTGTCAAAGGTTTTTGCGACTGGAAACACGCATTGCAGACTGATACAGGACTGCTAAGGCATGCCGCATCAAAAGAACACATTTCATGTGTGAGTTTGTGGAGAGGGAGACAGATACGCGATGAAACAAATAAGGAAATGAGTACTTTGGTGCAGATCAGCTGCACGGAGCCTTATTACGAGTCAGCTGTCGTTGATATTCTAGCTTTTTCAGCTGTCAACCAACTCCCTCTCAGAGGTGACCACGATTCACTCCACAGCATGTCCGAGTCAGGCAGTGGGCTCTTCCTATCGCTGTTTGAGTATACGCTGCACAAAGATGCAGAGTTGGCCAAAATAATGGAAAGCATTCCCCACACAGCAACACACACCTCTCACGACATGCACAATGCCATAATAGAGCTAACAGCAGTTCATCGTCTCCGTCTCTACTATTTCTCTCCGAGTGCAACGATGAGGAAGCTCCCATCCTTAACCAGTGTGCCTTGCTCGTGATTTACCAGTGTTTGTGCTGCCACGCACACAATGTTTCAAAAGTAGTTTATTTGTGTATGTATTTGCGATAAGTGTGCGTCTTTGCGCAATGCTGTTGGCCTTGCTGTTTGATATATATATTGTGCCGCAGGCCCGCAGCACGTGACGGTGTTGTGTGCGCTCCCATGAAAATCATATGCCCTCCCTTTAGATTTGTTCTGGCGCCGGGTCTGACTCCACCATTGGGGGTAAGACTCCAATAAAACAGTGGATAAAGAAGGATTGTGAGTCAGGAAGAACATTTCATAGATTTCAGATGTTCTGCTTGTGAACAGCACTTTACACAACAATACATCCCAGCTGTCTTCACGATGAGCTCAGACTCACTGACAAGCTCATATTTATCTCATATAAAATAAACTGTTAGACTTCCAAGACTCAATTCCTTAACATAACTCATCTAGTGGAGTTTCCAGTTTACACCTGTTTGTTTCAGTCTTCACCATGTGGTGCCCCTGAAGCCATGACCTGTCAAATCTAATCACATTTTGTTTCTCCTCACATCAACAAGAGCATTTCCATGTGGCCTGTCTTTTTTGTATAATTTGATTTGGGTGTAGGTATAGTTACATTACATTCAAGATTTCAACATGACACAAGAAATTAATTAGCACCAAAAAATACTTAAATGAGATAATACCAAAGCCCTCAGGATTACAAAAGACCCTCATCACCCCAGCCACAAACTGTTCTGTCTGCTGCCGTCTGGCAGGCGTTACCGCAGCATCCGGCCTAAAACCACCAGACTCTGAGACAGTTTCATCCCACAGGCCAGAAGACTGTTAAACACCTGAACTCTGTAAATAACATCCATAACATTCATCTGGCTGCAACTTATATATACAGTGGGGCAAAAAAGTATTTAGTCAGCCACCAATTGTGCAAGTTCTCCCACTTAAAAAGATGAGAGAGGCCTGTAATTTTCATCCTAGGTATACCTCAACTATGAGAGACAAAATGAGGAAAAAAATCCAGAAAATCACATTGTCTGATTTTTAAAGAATTTATTTGCAAATTATGGTGGAAAATAAGTATTTGGTCAATAAGAAAAGTTCATCTCAATACTTTGTTATATACCCTTTGTTGGCAATGACAGAGGTCAAACATTTTCTGTAAGTCTTCACAAGGTTTTCACACACTGTTGCTGGTATTTTGGCCCATTCCTCCATGCAGATCTCCTCTAGAGCAGTGATGTTTTGGGGCTGTCGCTGGGCAACACGGACTTTCAACTCCCTCCAAAGATTTTCTATGGGGTTGAGATCTGGAGACTGGCTAGGCCACTCCAGGACCTTGAAATGCTTCTTACGAAGCCACTCCTTCGTTGCCCGGGCGGTGTGTTTGGGATCATTGTCATGCTGAAAGACCCAGCCACGTTTCATCTTCAATGCCCTTGCTGATGGAAGGAGGTTGTCACTCAAAATCTCACGATACATGGCCCCATTCATTCTTTCCTTTACACGGATCAGTCGTCCTGGTCCCTTTGCAGAAAAACAGCCCCAAAGCATGATGTTTCCACCCCCATGTTTCACAGTAGGTATGGTGTTCGTTGGATACAACTCAGCATTCTTTCTCCTCCAAACACGTCTAGTTGAGTTTTTACCAAAAAGTTCTATTTTGGTTTCATCTGACCATATGACATTCTCCCAATCCTCTTCTGGATCATCTAAATGCTCTCTAGCAAACTTCAGACGGGCCTGGACATGTACTGGCTTAAGCAGGGGGACACGTCTGGCACTGCAGGATTTGAGTCCCTGGCGGCGTAGTGTGTTACTGATGGTAGCCTTTGTTACTTTGGTCCCAGCTCTCTGCAGGTCATTGACTAGGTCCCCCCGTGTGGTTCTGGGATTTTTGCTCACCGTTCTTGTGATCATTTTGACCCCACGGGGTGAGATCTTGCATGGAGCCCCAGATTGAGGGAGATTATCAGTGGTCTTGTATGTCTTCCATTTTCTAATAATTGCTCCCACAGTTGATTTCTTCACACCAAGCTGCTTACCTATTGCAGATTCAGTCTTCCCAGCCTGGTGCAGGTCTACCATTGTGTTTCTGGTGTCCTTTGACAGCTCTTTGGTCTTGGCCATAGTGGAGTTTGGAGTGTGACTGTTTGAGGTTGTGGACAGGTGTCTTTTATACTGATAACGAGTTCAAACAGGTGCCATTAATACAGTTAACGAGTGGAGGACAGAGGAGGCTCTTAAAGAAGAAGTTACAGGTCTGTGAGAGCCAGAAATCTTGTTTGTTTGTAGGTGACCAAATACTTATTTTACCGAGGAATTTACCAATTAATTCATTAAAAATCCTACAATGTGATTTCCTGGATTCTTTCCCCCCATTCTGTCTCTCATAGTTGAAGTGTACATAGGATGAAAATTACAGGCCTCTCTCATCTTTTTAAGTGGGAGAACATGCACAATTGGTGGCTGACTAAATACTTTTTTGCCCCACCGTATCAATATTCCAATTACTGTATATAGACTAATCTGAACAGTTTCTATCATATTCTGTTTCTATTATATTATATTTTATTTTATTTACTTGTACTATTTTATCTGTGTTATTGTGTTGCACTGTTGGAGGAGCCTGGAACATCAGATTTTCATTGTCATAACTACTAACTAAAAAAAAAGGATATATGAAAAAAAAGATAAATATGTAAGAGAGAAACAGAGTTAATGAAATAGTTGTCATTAAGTTATATTTTATCCCCACTCATGCCCCCCCCCCAGTCCCTACTGTAAAATACATATACAAAGTAGCTTTGATGGCCTAAGAGGACAACAAATATGTGTCAACAAGTTGCCAAGAAATTCAAATCTTAATGTCCTAAAAAGTCTGACTGTCTGTCGTTTCTTATACACTTACTATACGAGCTAGTATGTCAAGCTTTCAGATCATTAAAAACCTAATCTTTGCCAACATTGTTGCTATATGCTTTAACCCAGCCAACATTATAAAAAGTTAAAATGCTGATCTTTCTGATGCTTATCTGTGAAAATGTTTTACTTTTTAGTGTTTTGTTTGATTTTTAGTCAAATATCTTCATGGACTGTTGGTTAGACAAAAGGAATAACTAACCCTGTGCCTGCTGCTTCTCTGGTGAAGGTCCTGCGCTGCCGAAGAGCAAGTTCATTGTGGCCATAAACTGGACTGGTATCACTTTCCTGGACGAGAGAGAGAAGAGGCTGCTGGAGCTCTCCTTCCCCGAAGTCACCGGAGTCCACAGCGTGAGGTAGGGACTGATCAGAGGAGCAGGGAGCTCTCTCCAGATTGTTGAGTCAGTTAAACTGAGCTGTTCCTTGTGTTGTGAATCAGGGAGGGTAAAGCATCCAGCCAGGCCGTGAGTCTGCTGACTCTGAAAGGAGACTTCACCCTGAGCGGAGGCACGGCCGAGGACATGTCCGAGCTGCTCACCATGTTCCTGAGCGGCCTGACCTCGAGGTCTCAGTACGCTGTGACTCTGAAGGAAGCCGACACGCAAGGTCAGAGGTGCACCTTTCTGTCTGTCATGGCCACAACTGAAGTATCCCTTTTAAGGGTCCTTTTAATCAGGAGAGAAGCATTCTGTCAAAGAATATTTGTTCAAATGTGCATTCCTTCTCAATTACTTATTCACTTATTGGTATTTAGTGTTTTCAGGTGGTCCCTTGAGGACTTCAATTTAACATAACACCGTGATATTCTGCTAACTCAAATGTAAATTGTAAAGTGTATATTGTGAGAACAAGCATAATGTAAACTGCCTTCTATTCCGTATACTTATATATTTATATTGTGTATTCAATATACGCTGTGTGTACAATTATTAGGCAAGTGATTATTTTGACCACATCATAATTATATATTGCATATTTTCCAACTCCAAGCTGTAAAAACTTGAATGCTTATTAGATTTAAGATTTGTTTAATGAGGGAGGGTGTGGCCTAAGGAGATCAACACCCTATATATCAATGTGTGCATAATTATTAGGCAGCTTCTTTTCCTCAGGCAAAATGGGCGAAAAATAGATTCAACTGACTTTTGAAAAGTCAAACATTTTAAAAGTATTTCAGAGGGATGCAGCTTGAAATATCTAAGATGTTGGGGCGTGATCACAAAACAATCAACTGTTTTGTTGAAAATAGTCAACAGGGTGGCAAGAAACGTGTTGAGACAAAAAGACTCAAATGAACTGCCAAAGATCTGAGAAGAATCAAACGTGAAGCCACCAGGAAGCCATTATCCTCCAGTGTGGTCATACTCCAGAACTGTGACCTACCTGAGGGCCCAGAAGTCTCAGGTGTTCAGAGACATGGCCAAGGTGAGGGAGGCTGAAACCCCCACTGAACAAGACACATGAGATCAAGACTGGGCCAAGACATATCTGAAGACAGATTTGTCAAAGGTTTTCTGGACTGATGAGATGAGGGTGACTCTGCATGGACCAGATGGATGGGCGGCTGGATCAGTACCGGGCCCAGAGCTCCACTTCCACTCAGACCCCAGCAAGGTGGAGGTGGTGCATGTATTACTAAAGAGGAGCTAGTTTGACCTTTTCAGGTTGAAGAGGTGAGTGTTGACTCAAAATCAACTCCCAACCCTACTGCCAGTTTTTAGAACACACTTTCTTCCATCAGTGGAACAGGAAAAGGTCTGTATCTTTCAGGAAGACCATGATTTTATGAAGGATAATGCTCCATCGCATGCATCAAAGTACTCCACTGTGTGGTTAACCAGTAAGGGCCTTAAAGAGGAATGAATAATTACATGGCCCCCTTCCTCACCTGACCTAAACCCTTCCTCACCTGACCTTAACCCTTCCTCACCTGACCTAAACCCTTACTCACCTGACCTAAACCCTTCCTCACCTGACCTAAACCCTTCCTCACCTGACCTAAACCCTTCCTCACCTGACCTTAACCCTTCCTCATCTGACCTTAACCCTTCCTCACCTGACCTTAACCCTTCCTCACCTGACCTAAACCCTTCCTCACCTGACCTTAACCCTTCCTCACCTGACCTTAACCCTTCCTCACCTGACCTAAACCCTTCCTCACCTGACCTTAACCCTTCCTCACCTGACCTAAACCCTTCCTCACCTGACCTAAACCCTTACTCACCTGACCTAAACCCTTCCTCACCTGACCTTAACCCTTCCTCACCTGACCTAAACCCTTCCTCACCTGACCTAAACCCATCCTCACCTGACCTTAACCCTTCCTCACCTGACCTTAACCCTTCCTCACCTGACCTAAACCCTTCCTCACCTGATCTAAACCCTTCCTCACCTGGCCTAAACCCTTCCTCACCTGACCTCAACCCTTCCTCACCTGACCTAAACCCTTCCTCACCTGACCTAAACCCTTCCTCACCTGACCTAAACCCTTCCTCACCTGGCCTAAACCCCTTCCTCACCTGGCCTAAACCCTTCCTCACCTGACCTAAACCCTTCCTCACCTGACCTAAACCCTTCCTCACCTGACCTAAACCCTTCCTCACCTGACCTAAACCCTTCCTCACCTGACCTAAACCCTTCCTCACCTGACCTAAACCCTTCCTCACCTGACCTTAACCCTTCCTCACCTGACCTAAACCCTTCCTCACCTGACCTAAACCCTTCCTCACCTGACCTAAACCCTTCCTCACCTGACCTAAACCCTTACCTGACCTAAACCCTTCCTCACCTAACCTAAACCCTTACCTGACCTAAACCCTTCCTCACCTGACCTAAACCCTTCCTCACCTGACCTAAACCCTTCCTCACCTGACCTAAACCCTTCCTCACCTGGCCTAAACCCTTCCTCATCTGACCTAAACCCTTCCTCACCTGACCTAAACCCTTCCTCACCTGACCTAAACCCTATTGAGAACGTGTGGGCCCTTCATAAAGGGAGATTTACAGTGAAGGAAACTCCTCTCTGAACAGAGTCTAGGAGGCTGTGGTTGATCGTCAACACAGATCCAGAAACTGACCGACTCCATCAATGGAAGGCTTGTGACTGTCATTGAAGAGAAGAGTGGATATGGGTTCATGTTTTATCTCAGGAAAATGAATTTGTATATGTTGGGTTGTTTGTTTATTATTCTCACTTTAACAGTTGAATACAAACAAGTGAGATGGGAACATTTTCTGTTTTTCCTTTAGTTGCATAATAGTTCTGCACAAAAATAGCTGCCCAATAATTGTGCACACAGTGTATATATACTCTATAGATATATATCCTTCATTATTTAAATGTATATATTCACTATTTTGCATATTTAGTTTATCTTCTACTGCTGATATGTATATCTTAATAGTTTTTTTTAAAGGTATTTATTTATTTACTATTTTATTTATTTATTTTAATTCATGTGCAATGTCTTATCTATGCTGCTGTCACGAAAAATTAATTAAAATCTTATATTATCTTATTAGATATCAAATTGACATATTCTTTGGACTATAATACCACATCTGGATCTTAGGGGGAAGTGTAGGTAGAACAGGAGTCGCAGTAGCATCATTTGTGGCAAAATCTAGTTCACTGAAGAGTGGACGTTTAGAATCAGCTGATAAGAGGCAGCTGGAGGAAAGAGAGAGAGAGAGAGAGAGAATGTAGAATGATAAAACAAAAAGGTAGTTTTCCTGATCAAAGTTATGCTCAGCTTTAATTTTGCTCTTTTGCTAATTGATTCCCGACTTCCATTCTTCTACAGACGACCCCATGTTACTGAGCTTCAAGAAAGGAGAGCTCATTATCATAATCAAAGACGACGAGTTTGCCCAGGAACGTGGCTGGATAAAGGGCCAGAATGAGAGCACAAAACATACCGGCGCCGTCCCCACCGAGGCCATCATAATCCTGCCAACGCTCAGCAAACCCACCAATCAGGTCATGGTATGGAGATGTCAACCTCACTTCCCTGTCAGATGAGTTATTGTCCTCAGATTGTTGTTAAAGTTCTCCTTTGTTTCAGAGCCTCATCAACCTGTCTCCAAACCAAAGGAAAAACATAATGCAGGCAAACCAGAAGGAAACAGGAACCATGGAGAGATTAGCTCCCGCCACGCTGAAAGAGTTCTCCCTGGAGTACTTCAGGTATCTGGAGAAGCCCTCTTTGTTTTGCACACTGGAACAGGAGTGTTTACCCATACTGTACCTTGATCCCACAGGCAGCCCACTAAGGATGTGAACCGTCAGGTGATGTCCAGGAACGCTGCTCCTGAGAGGCTGTGGGCCAACACGAGGGAGCCAATCAGACAGCCCCTCCTCCAGAAGCTGGTGGGCAACCCGGAGCTCAGCCACAAAGCCTGCCTGGCCTTCACTGATATCCTCCACACATATATGAAAAGTAGCATTTCTTACTACGTGTTTTTTTGACCAGTGCACCTTTTGGCATGCAAGTTAAATTGATGAATGTACTATAAGCCTATTTCAGGGCATGGTTCAATTTGTCTACTACCTGACACATGTGTGCCTGAATCCTGCCCACACAGGGAGCAGATCCCCACGGTTTAATCAGGCCTTACAAAGTATCTTCTTTGTATCTGCTTAACCCTAACCACACTCACTTTCGCTCAGTTTTCCAGCCTTCAACAAAATACAGATTTGTTTGTTTTCATTGATTGGGATACGATTTAACATCTAATACATATCATCCAACTGCTATGTTGCACAAAGAGTTTCTAGCTATTGCTAATTTCAACTTTTTTCCTTAGTTGGGATTTAGCATGTACATTACAATATCTTTCAGTATTATATAACCAATGAAGTGCAAACACACTAATAAACACATAATGCAATAAACATACAAATATACCTTGAAATTATACACTAGCCTACATAATATGTATAGCTCTGGTTTGCTTTGGAGCCAACCCTTATCTTCTTGTGTATGATTTTATATCTAAAGATAATTGAATTCATAATTAATGTGGTCCCCCCTGATGGAAAGGCTGTCCAAATGTAGATGTATGATGTGTTATCTTACAGTTTCCATTCGCAATGATCATGCAGTCTTGTTATCTAGACATTGACGAGTTATCTCACTGGTCAATGTCTCGTCTCTGTCTTAAACAAATGATTCAGTTAAGTCAGAGTGTAAAGTGTAGGGGTTCAGGTTGGCCTATAGCACAGGGCCATTCAAACCTAGCTACACTAACTAATATACTAAGCAAAGACCCTACAGCCAAACAATCCCTTCTACTACCTAACAAGCAACAATCTGTAGCATCAGTACCTCACAATATCGTTGAAGTTAACGAAATAGGATGGTTGTTCCTCCTTGACTGCTGTGTACCGATCCTGAAATATATGGGAGATTATCCCACCAAGCAGATGCAGAGTCCCCTGGAGCACACAGACCTGATCTTCAGCCCCGCCACTCAGAACGAGGCCCTGAGGGACGAGATCTACTGCCAGATCATGAAGCAGATGAGCAGCAACAACAACCGGTACGTGTTCCCCCGCTGTCATGGCTCTCTGATTCTTTAAGTGTTCCAAGAAAAGGCTGCATCAGAATTCCTTTATTATTATTATTATTTAAAATGTGTTTGTTACATGGTCGGTCTGTATATGTATTCAGAGCTAGTGAGAAACTGACTTTCAAAATAATAATAATAATTTCTTCTTTTTTTTTCAAATATTTGTATTGCAAACAAGTCATAAACCGGCAAATGACAAGAAGTAAGAACAGTAATAATCAATACAAAACAGTACAGATGTTACAAATAGCAAATGAAGACAATGGGGATCATTACAAAGGACCTCTTTGAAAATAAAATAAAGTGATGTATTGCTCCATATTCACGTCAGGGTTCGTAGAGAGTCCTTGTTTACAGTTTGTTGTTTTTTTTAACCCCCCCACCCACAGGTATGGATGGCCCCAAATAGTAAAATAACTGAATAAGTCAGATAAAATCATAAGTAAAACATAAATAATAATAATAATAATAATAATAATAATAATGAAAAAGAAAGTCGAGAGTCTGTAAGAATCCGGTATAAGGGAAGAAAATAATAGTAAACATTGTCGTCTTGGTGAGGAAAAAAGGTTTCATTAAGAGGGAAAAGGAAATATAGATGAGTGGTCAAGGGCAAAAGACAAAGGGTCATGGTGGAAGAGCAGTAATATGAATGGTCACTTTTATTTAATTGATTTCCTTTCAGAGAGCTACCTGCGACTCAGCGTCAGAAGTGATAGGGAGTTATTTGATAGGGTTATATAGTACGGAAGGATTTCAGAGATCCTTTCAATGAGAATCTTAACTTCTCCATCTGAAGGCATTGTAAGACATCACGTATCCACTGATCATGTGTTGGTGGGGAAGCATGTATCCATTTGAAGAGAATAGAGCGTCTAGCTAATAGAGTGGTGAAGGCAATGACACGGCGTATAGTAATGGGCATATTCTCAGATGGAGGAAGGCCGAACAGTGCAGTCATAGGATTAGGGTCTATCTTTGTGTTAAAGGCCCGCTCAATGGTTCCAAATATGTCAGACCAAAATGTGTCCAACCTCGGGCAAGTCCAGAACATGTGCAGATGGTCAGCTGGGGATTGATTGCATCTGTTGCAGGCATCACTCCGATCCGGGAACATTTTAGCCAGCTTAGCATTAGTAAAGTGAGCTCTGTGGAGCACCTTACACTGGAGTAGGCCATGTCTAGCACAGATAGATGATGTATGGACTAGGATGAGAATGTCACTCCATTGATCCTCGGAAATGTTGCTACCTAGATCACGCTCCCAGAGCTCCTTAAGAGGCACCATAGGGTCCGGACTCAGGGAACCAATCTGACCATAGAGAACTGAAACCAGGCGCTTTTGATCAGGGTCGACTGTGAGAAATGTATCAATTGGCGATTCGGGGGGGCGGTTAGGAAAATGTGGAAATTGCTTTTGGATGAAGTGCCTGATTTGGAAAAAACGGAAGAGATGACTGTTGGGCAAGTTGAATTTGACTGACAGGGACTCAAAGGATGAAAAGACTCCATCCTCGTAAAGGTCATTAAGCGTTGCGAGACCGTTGCGAGACCATTGTTCGACCAAACGCGGAAGGCCATGTCAGTACACGATGGGGGGAATAGGTGATTGTTTGAAATTGGGGCATGAACCGAAGCTCTATGGCTGCTTCTCAGGTCGATTAAATGAAATCCTTGCTTCCCTCACTTGCGTCGTTTCCCTGCGACTAGTCCCTCCCACCAGGGAAGCATGTAGGGACTCAAGGAAACCACGAGAAGCAGGGAAATGAGTTTTAAGAGCAATGGGACGTCCTTTCCTCCGGAGCGTCACGTGAAGCGACGTCCGTTTGTGATGACGCTGCACAGCTGATCGTCTGACAGCAGCTCTGTCCCCGTTATTTCCACACACCCCCCCGCCTCTGTTAGTATATCCAGTCTATGGTTAGTACACATTTACTGACACAAACATTTGTATCATCTGTTGTAGACCCAAATAAATAAAATAAAATAAGAACTAATTCTCAAAAAAGATAAACGCCATTCTTAAAATGTATAAACGAACAATAGTTTGATGCATATTGATTAGAGTGCACAAAATAAATAAAATAATTGAGAGAAGAAAAAGAGATATGTTATCTATCAAAACCCAGTTAGATTAACATTCATTGGATTGCACACTTTGTGTGGATATGTAGCACATTAACATTTTAATAGCACTTAATGACTGACTGAATGGAAATGACAATAAATGAAAATGTAAAACCAAAAAAGCGATCATGAAAATGTTTCCAAAAAATGAAGTAAATGATTTTTGACCACTTTGTTGTTCAGATATATCACATATTTGTAACTAAATGAAACATGAATTGAAACAAAACACGGTATAAACTGAGGAGTGACTCCCGTGAGGTTCATGTATTTTCTTCACTCTGCTCTCATGTCAAGAAGCATCAGATCAGTGCATGCACTGCCTCGTCCAATCAGTGAGCGATACACAGTAAGGGGGCGGGGTGAGTATCTGAGGATTTCATCGAAGGATGGTCTGGTGGTTCCTCGATTATCGCTCCTCCATTATCGCTCCTCGCTCCTCGCTCCTCGCTCCTCCGGCAGAAATAAGAGCCATGGGACGCTACTCAAGATGGCGCAGGCAAATCAACTTCCGGTGAGACCGAGGACCGAGGAGCGAGGAAATGAAAATAGTCGACCTGAGAAGCAGCCTATGTAACCCGTGCTGTTTCCTGAATTGGAGCCAAATGCTTAAGGTGCTAGTAACAATTGGGTTACTCAAATGTTTATGGGTAGCTACAGGGAGCTGAGAACAGATTATAGAGTGCAAAGGAGCAAAAGATGACAGCTCGATATTTACCCATATATATTTTATAGTTAGCCCAATAGAGGAGTTTGTTAATATTAGAGGCCCAGTAATAGTGGCGAAAGTTGGGGAGCGCCAGGTCCTCTTCTGATTTAGGGAGTTGGAGACACAACTTTCTAATATGCGCAGGCTTGTTGTTCCAGATGAACGCATTCAACTGCTTATCAAGATCAGTGAAAAAATATGTATTGATGCTTACTGGGATGTGTTGGAAAAGGTAAAGAAACTTTGGCAGGATGACCATCTTTATAAGGTTTACGCGACCCGCAAGAGACAGGGGGAGGGGGGCCCACCTAGACATATTGGCTTTGCATTTATCTAGTAGAGGCTGAAAGTCTTTAGGGAACAGGTCTTTAAAAGAGTTTGCAACAAACACCCCCAAGTATTTGAACCCCTCCACAGCCCTTTTAAAGGGGAATAGGGATTGGGGAAGTGCCTCTGCCATTTTATTTACAAAAAATACTTTGCTCTTTTGAATGTTTAGTTTGTAACCTGATACACGGCCAAATTGATCTCAAATCGACAGTATGGGGGGGAGAGAGGATAATGGGTTCGAGATCATAAGAAGAAGGTAATCTGCATAGAGAGACAGTTTATGAACCATGCCATGACGCGTAATGCCCTCAAACCTATCATGGCTTCTGAGCCAGATAGCGAGAGGTTCAATGGCTATATTGAACAACAGCGGCAAAAGAGGACACCCCTGGCGAGTACCACGTTGGAGAGAGAAAGGGGGAGATCGAATGCCATTAGTGTGTACAGAGGCAGATGGAGAGGCATATTGGAGTTTAATCCAGGAAATAAATTGCGAATCGAAACCAAATGTATCAAGACTAGAAAATAGGAAACCCCACTCAACCCTATCGAAGGCCTTCTCTGCGTCAAGTGTCACTATGACTTCGGGGGTGTTAGAGGAAGGAGAGAAAATTATATTGAGAATTTAAAAAAGAGTGTCTCCCCACCATAAATCATTTATTTTTTAAATGAAATGTAAATGAGCGATACAATGATTTTCGGCGTTAATGAATCCTAGGATCTGTATTATGATGAAGATCTTTGCCAATCAATGCCTTTACTCATGATTTAAGTAAATAAAGCCTCATGTGACCATTGATTTATTTCATTAATGTTTATTTGAAAGGCAGTTGATCAAAGTGTTAGGACCATGTTAGGACCCATTCTGTTACTATGGCGATTGTTTTGTTATTGACAATATTTTTTATTTATTTTTTATATATTAAAATGATCATAACAGCAAGAATATTTGACATGAAATATCTGACAGATGAATTGATCATTAAAGTACCTAAAGGCTTTTCCATCCCTAGCAAACTTGAATAAGATTAAACCAAGATTATAGAAAATACAATCGTGACTGGTGAATGAAAGAAACTTAAACTTGTATTCCTTTGTGTATTTTTATTTATTAAGAAAGAAGGAAGTAAAAACAGTAACAAATTCCAGGAGTAGAACCCTCCAATGTTTCAGTGTTTGTGAATGGTGTTGAATGGCAACCCACTGGTCCTCCGCTCCACAGTGTCCCACATGTTTTCATCCTGTTGCTTGCTCCCCCCCCCCAGGTTCAGCATGGAGCAGGGCTGGCAGCTGCTGTGGCTCTGCTGCGGGATGTTCCCCCCCTCCCAGGCCCTTCTGAGGCACACTCAGAGGTTCCTGGAGTCGCGGCGCAGAGAGGCCCTGGCCCCCGACTGCCTGCAGCGGCTGCAGAGCTCCCTCAGGTCAGCAGCGCTAACACACTCACAGCAACATGTCTTCACGAGTCTCAGAGCAGTGTGTACACTATGAAGGGTGTGTGATGTCAGGCAGCATGCAAACAGTTACAGGATGGAGGATTGTACAGCTAGTGTGCTTGTAGAAAAGAGGCAGTTGCAACATGCCAGCCCTCGTTAGCAGCCACCATGAAGTGCATATCACCACGCTGAGAACAAGGAAATGTCAAGCTGACCGCATGTTCCTAATCTCTCATGAGTTATTGGTACGGAAGCCTTGAGAGGCAAGTGACTGAAAAAATCTTGTCTGAGTCTGATCTACGTACTTTCCTCTTCTGTGCCTACTACTTAAGAACAGTTGGGGAAAAAATGTCCATGATAGTCTTTCCAAGTTATTGAGCACTTTGTATCTATAAACAGGTTAGGGTTTTACCAGGTTAGGCTTTTCTTAATTGTCTTAAGATACTTTTCATCTGTGAAAACAGTTATTCTAAATAGGGCTGAAGCCGTCATGTTTTTGAACTTTTACATGCACAAAAGTTTTTTTCACCGAGCAAAAAACCTTTTTTTTGCTAGTTTTCTCAAATAAGAAATTAAAGTAATGTTTCACAGACAAAAGACAATAATTAAGGAATTTATAAGGATTGTCCTAGAAGTATCCTTTTTATACCTATAAAAATCATGCAAAATGCACTTTTTGATGTCTTTTATACATAAATATGTGTCCCCGCCCGGTGTGTCAGGGAACTCACAAAGGGTCAGAAAACAAAACCCTCTCTCTTTTCCTCCGTACCCACATCTCTAAAAACGGGGGTACAACGGAGCTGATCCAGATTTGCTGCCGATATGACGTAATATCAGAAATGTGGGCTGGCTTTTCGCCCACGGCCAAATCAGAAACATCGCTATCAGAAACAATGCCCGACTGTTTTGGACGTACTATTGTTTACATTAGTAAGCATCGCTCACACTCAGAGCCAACCTGTACTGGAGAGAGTATGTGTAAAAAAGCAGGAAATAAAAAGCTACTCTCCTTGTGGTAAACCCGCAAGAAAAGAAGCATTTGAGCTCCATACTGTTTCAGAAATAATCCTTGAAGTGGTTTGGAACATGATGTGGCGTTTAATCACGGCAGCTTTTAGCTGCATCTGAGCAGAGCAGACAGCTCGTCACATAACTCAGTGTGCCTGCTGCTCAAAAGGGGGCGGGCCTGCAGAGTATCAGCCATTCTCTAACAGGGCTGAAATAGAGGGATGAATAAAATGCATGATCTGTTTGGTATTTTGAGCAAAACACATCACAGATATGTTTTTAATATATCTGAAACCCATAAAATATGCCTAAAAATAGCATGATAGGAGATCTTAAAGTTATAACCAAAGAAGAGAAAACCATTTAGATCAGACTCACCTGCCTCTCAGGGCTTCCATGTAGAGGTACTCCTAGGACTTCATGTATGTGAATATATACAGACCACTTTTGTCTTGTTTTGTTTGAATGCATGTTGCGGTTTAAGAATTTTCATGCATTGATGTTCACATTCAACGTTAAATGCCACTGTGTGTTGCATGGCCTCTATAATACATTTGATTCAAATTCTTTATAATGTTCATCATCTCAACAGGCTCTAAGAGAAATACCAAAGAGCAGCACATTTGAATGATCAAGTGTGTGCTCTGTGGCTACACAATGATAAAGTTAATTCAATAGTAAATTAGTAAATAAACAGTGTGTGTCTGTTGTCCTTGTATAGGATGGAGCCGAGGAAGCTCCCACCACACCAGGTGGAGGTAGATGCCGTCCAACAAAACAGCACTCAGATCTTCCACAAAATCCACTTCCCCAACGACACAGAGGAGGTAACACACCTCTCGTGCAAAGTTACAAGGGAATATCCTGGTCAAATATTCCATCAGTAACATCTTGACTCCTGTCATCTCTCTCCAGATATTTGAGGTAGCCACCAACACCAGGATCAGGGATCTGATCCAGAACATTACCAAGAAGCTCAGTCTGGCTTCTGCGGACGGCTTCAGCATATTTGTCAAAACACATGACAAGGTTCATCTGTCATTTCTCAGCCCTGATCGTGATATTTTGTCTCTTTTACAAAATGCTATGCCATCTTTCATGACCTGTTTTATTTAACAAAGTCTGAAATTGTGTTCATTTCAGGTTCTCAGTTTGAATGACACAGACTACTTCTTTGACAGTCTGAGACAAATCACTGACTGGTCCAAGAAAGCCAAGACGATCAAAGAGGGTATACACATGTTCAGATGGGAGTGCCTTTAGACTTGTGATGGTTCTTTGTATTTACCTGTGAAAACCTCTTTGTGTGTGTGCCTGTGTGTGTCCTGCAGGTGGGCCTGTCAACATACCCTACCTTGTGTTCTTCATGAGGAAGTTGTGGTTTAATATAATCCCTGGCAGAGACACAGAGGCTGATGTTATCTTCCATTTCCCTCAGGTAATTTGAATGATGCGGCTCAACCTGCCACCATCACATTTTCCGGATTAGTTTTTCCACCTAATATGAAAGCCAAATATTTCCAATTGGACCGTACGATATATACGTAGGATCTTTATTTTGAAGAGTGTGAATGGAATACAGTAATACAGCAAAAACACCTATAATTGTTTTAATTAAATGCGCCGGACATACAAGGCATATCTAAAGGCGTCATGCTACTACGTTTTACAAGATACATTTCTTTTATTTAAAGCTCCTTGGATACAAACAATCAGTCATCGATCAGTGTATCAAAGAACCAAAGCAGGCAACGCTAGTCCATGGCCACAACCAACAAAAATGCTGGTTGCAAAAATAAATGCTGAGTCAGTGGTATTGAAATACAAGCTACAGAAAAAATTATGTGAGCGGGCACTTTATTGATTTCTGGTGAAAATTCCTCCGTTTTTTCTTTTGAAATATATAGCAGAATAACAAAAATATGTCCCCTATTTGTTAATATCGTTCAGCTGTACTTCCATGTAGACAATTCTATCAGACCGATACATGAGATGGTATCAATATTAGTACCAGACCACCCTGGTTTCTGACCTCTATAAACCTTACAGATTCAAAGTTATCAATTGTACAATGTTGTGAATAGTCTGTGGTTGTGAGTAGCAACTTGGCTGAAGGTGAAACTTGGGCCCAGATCTGTGGTGAAATATTTTAAAACCGACTTTTTATCCTCCAGGAGCTACCAAAGTACCTGAGAGGTTACCATGTTAGCACCAAAGAGGAAATGCTCAACGTTGCCGCTCTGCTCTTCAGGATAAAGTTCAGCAACGACAAGAGCCAGTTTGTCTCCATCCCAAAGGTCCTGAAGGAGCTGGTCCCTGCAGACCAGCTGAAGGCCATGTCCGAAAATGAGTGGAAGAAGGTATGAGGAGCCTCTGCTGTACAGTTTAAAGGACTTTCTTCTTTATTGTTGTTTACATTGACTGACCAAAACTAACAACTACAAATCCACACGACCAGGCTAGTGGCTTATTGTGTCTTTAGTTCATAATCTGAGTGGAAGACAGCGAACTCATTGCCAATGCTAACATGCACATGTCCTTAGAGGGCAAACATATACGTACAAATACTGCCATATCATTATATATTATACAGTACGATTTACACTTTATTAAGGAAAATCTTTAACCATCTTAAATTTAAAAATGTCAAGTTTTTGGACCCAGTTTAAATGCCAGTTTGTTTGCATAATGCCAATGTTGTTTTCTAATAACCAAAATCAACATAAAACTGTTAAGGTTTACTTACATCTCCAGGGTTTTTTCCGTCCGAGCTATGCTGATGAGCAACAACATTTATCTTGAGGCATGTTATTTTTTATGTGCATACAACCAGGAGAAAAGCCAACGTTTGAAAATGCATAGTAAAAAAAAAAAGAATAGAATGTATTATTTTATGCTGTAATGGCCGTGGGATCCAAATATTTGGTTTTAATGGATTTCAATGAGGACAGTTTTGTCCTTGTCTGTAGTTTTTGGAAAACAATGGAGCTCTATGTTACAGAGAAAGATGATATATACAGGCTTGGGATACTCAGACAGTTATATAGAGCATCACCAAACCTGTTCTTAACATGTATCATCTGAACAATAACACCATTATGCCATGCCTGTGACCCCCCCCCCCCCCCCCCCGGGCGTTGTAAAATCATTAACCTCATTCAAAGTAGTTCAACTACTTCTACTAAATGAGTGTTTTTTCACACTGCGATGTAAGTAATTTGTATTTATTTTCAGAGTATTGTCGCATCTTTTAACAAACAAGTGGGTTTGACTGCTGAAGAAGCGAAGGTGGCGTTCCTGAAGGCGGTCTGCCGCTGGCCCACCTTCGGCTGTGCCTTCTTTGATGTGAAGGTAAGGCAGTGAAGGCAGCGCATGGAGCTTTTATTTAGCTATCTGTAGTTCTTTTGGTTGAGTGGGTGGTTTGTTTATCTGGTGCTCTCGCTCTCAGTCCTTCCCTCCCTCTGTCACCATCTCATTTGCTTTTTGAACTTTATTTTCAGCAAACATCTGAACCAAGCTTCCCAGATATTGTGCGAATAGCCATCAGCAAGCAGGGACTCACCATCATCCACCCTAAAACCAAGGTGAAACAGAAAAAAACCAGTATTTTCTTTAACATCTTGCTGTTATTATTCATTATTAACAATTATCATCTTTTGTAAAGGATGTACTGGCTAATCACCCATTCAACCGCATCGCTAACTGGTGCAGTGGAAGCACCTACTTCCACATGACTATTGGCAGTTTAGTCAAGGGGAGCAAATTCCTGTGTGAAACTTCACTGGTAAGATCTATCTATCGTTAGACATGTGCACCTTAAAGAGCCTGTGACACGAGTTTCCCCCATCATCCAAACCCATCAATTTGAGTAAATATTGTCCCCTTGAAAACCGTTACTGAACTGATTTTGGATATTTGTACTTTGATAACCATTAATCTGCCCTTCAATGTTGACCATTTTCTGGATCTTCTCGGGAATTCTTCAAGTCCCGCCAAATTATGTGTGACGTCATTGCGGGCACAGCGCTCCAGCTGCACTGTTCAGGATCCCAGCATCTGCATGTAAACGCACGATGGTGCACACAGCAGCAAGCTCAGACAGCGATGACAGTTTAATTTTGAACGTGTCTGAGAGCTCATATGAGGCTGAAGGATCGGTTTATGTTGTATCTGTTAGAAGTTTAGGAATTAGGTGCGTCAATATGGGCGATCATACGGTCATGTAGCCAGTGGTGGACTGGGACTAAAAATCATCACGGGACTCTCGACCGGCCCACTTCGGTACCGCTAGTAAATTGTCAACGTGGGGGAGTGGGGGATGTGCTAGTGACTTATCCGACCGGCCCACTTCGGTACCGGCCCATCGGGATTCGTCCCGATGGCCAGTCCGCCACTGCACCCAGCCCAGCCCACGTAAACTGTCAACGGGGGGAGCCTCGCTGCGGGGAAACGGTGGACCTAGTGTCCCGATCGGAGTGGGAATAATAATAATAATAATAATAATCCGTGCATTTTATCCATTAATTTCCCCAACATTGTGGTAAAAAAAACCACACGTTTAATCCATGTTGGTGTACTACAACTACAAAAAGCATCGGTTTGTTTTCTCATCAGGAAATGCAGACCGGCTCAAACAAACGATTTTTAATCATCATCCTCACGATCATTTAATGTATCATATGTTCGCCGAATTGACATGAAAGCACTAATAAATGTAGTTTCATCCACTTGAGTTTACAACTACAAAAATAATCGATTTGTTTTTATATCGCATCCGACGGGAGGAAATTCAGCAGCTAACACTACCGATTTGTAATCCTAATGTAATCATGATCTTCACCACGATCATTTATGTTTATGTTCGCCGAATTGACATGAAAGCACTGACAAATATGAATATACTGTAGTCAACTTCATTAAAACGTTATTAACGTGCCTAAACTCAGTAATTCACCATTTCTACGCATGACAACACACTTTGTCCGTGTTTGGCTCTCTCGCCGCACAGTGAAGCGTTCCCGCATTGACGTCACTTCCGGCTTCCCCCAAAACATCAAAATGAGTCGAAGGAATTTCCCCACGATGTTCGAAATTATTGATATTTATCGGAACGGTATCGCACCTTCTTTTATAAGCTGACGGTTCGAGATTACTAGTAGCCCAATATTTCATTGCACAGCAGTTGTTGGGAGGCTGTCACAGGCTCTTTAAATAATGACTAGTGTGTCCATTATTTTGTCTTTACCTCTCTGTCTTCCTCTTAATAGGGTTACAAGATGGATGATCTTATAACCTCCTACGTAAACATGTACCTCCAAGAGAGGAAGGCGGGGCAAACCAGGAACCAGCGCTTCAACTGAGCTGAAGTAGCACCAGTGTGTCGCAACTTTGAAACACACACACACACTAAAAGGCGGAGCAGCAAAAAGTTCATTTGGAATCCATTTAATTTGACATTAAGAAAGTTGTTTTAGATTTCTCACATTTTATTTTAAGCTAATCTTTCTTTGCCATGTATTCAAGTAACATATTTCTAATTGAATACCTTACGTTTTAAGTAATATAATTTAATAATAATATCCATCCATATGGTTTCCTTATGCTTCTTTCTATTTTTAAATACCACACAGGTTTAATTATCGTTAAACACATTTACTATAAATACTTTTTGAGTATATTAGTCTCTAATAATATTCCCAAAAGGGTTTCATCTGCATTTGGTAAACACTTTTAAATGCACAGGAAGCATTGTTTTGCATATGTTTTCTTTCTCTTTGTTTAGTGGCATGTGTTTTGGAAATTCATTGTGAACACCATGATTTAAACACAATTAGCCATATACATATGAAACCTTGTTGTTATTTGTATTCTTCACAATTGGTATCTCCTCTCCATATAAATCTGCCTGCCTTATAAACATTAAAGGAGCACTGTGGAGTTTTTGAAAACAATCACTTGATTTATTACCTCAGTAAACATGTTCCTAATGAGTTTATGGTCTCAAGCTAGTTTGAAGTCTTTCAGCAGCATGATGTTCATTATGTGAACCACGGTCCTATTCAGAGTGAAACAAGGTATTATAGGCGGGGCTACTTTGTGAATGACAAGTTGCTGTCCGACAATATGTTGTACATTAAGACTCTAAAAGGTCTGCTGTTTTGTTTTAGTATGTTTTGTGCTAGATAAACTTAGCATCTTCGGACAAGCTAGCGTTAGCTGGTTAGTTATTACACCATTTAACTTCATGGCCCTGCGTGGCTGCTCCTCCCCAGCGCCTCCAAAGGCCTCAAAGCTGTAGGCCTAACACCAAAGGGAGACGTCACACTGTCTACGTTCCCTTTTTATAGATATATATATATATATTATTACAGTATGTATAACATCTATGGTCAAAACATTGCTAAGTTGTGCTAAAAGGTATTCAAAAACTCCATCGGGATACCTTCTTAAAAGTCCCTCTTCAGAAAATATTTTAAATGATTATGATCCCAATAAACATTTAGGCCTGAGTGAAAGCCTGTTGGTGAGTGTTAAAAATGATAGAAAATGTTTATTTTCCCTGAGCAGCCGGGAGTCTGATAGTCTGCAGTCTTCAGAGAGAAGAGTGGTATATTTATGGTAGCAGGATCTTACACAAAGCGATGTTTTGCTTCGGGTTGCGAGACGCAGAACAGACAGAGCCGAAGTGGCGAACAAAAGCTGGGGCCATCCCAATTAGTAGTTGGCAGTAGATTAACAGTGTAGTGGTGTCTGAGCCACCCCCCCAGCCCTGCACAGATAGCGCCTCTATTCAAGTCTACAAAGCATTTGCATATCGATGATCCAGAGGAGAGAAAGGGCCGATGTGTCTGACACACAGCTGTGATCTCCCTGTATGAAAGAAATATTATCCCCAACCAGCGGGTCCCCCCTCCACATCTGTCTGAGGGCTATGTGACTGATTATTTTGGGCATTCCAATTCAGGATGCCCCTAGGAGGCTAGAGACCAACAAGGGCCTCTGTTTCTTCCAAGCGCTGACCCCCCTCCCCACTCTTGTTTTCACCCGCTCTCCTATAGGGAAGGGGGCCCTCTAGAACTAAACAGACTATCGACAAAAGATCATTTCTGAGACTTCAGTCATAAACTTCTAAATTAACAACACAGTCCATCTTCTATCTATCAGTGGGGGGGTGGGAGTTCATAGTAAAGGCACTTGGTGGACCACTAGTCCTCGTTGTCATGGTGTCATACCCGACATCTCATTGGCACTGAGGCATGCCATTCTTCTCCCCGCTGCTAAAATGTGCTGCCTATTCTGACTCAGGCTATTGTGGGGCGCACAAGTAGCTCTCTGAGGAGAAGGGGATGGAGAAAGAAAGGGCGGGGTCAAGGTTCAAACGAAAGGCTCTTATTGGGACTCCGTTTCTGTTATCAAATTTGTTGAGACACAAAAAGAGCTACAGTCTCATTCCCAAGGACATCTTGAGGGAGAGAAAAGGGGGGTAGGACAGCATTCTTTGTGTCAGCGTCAGAGCTCCAGAGCTCGCGGTCGGACTCCAGTCTCCACTCAGCTCCTGCAGAGTGTTCAGCAGCTCAATTGTTCCTAAAGCAGCCACACTTCTTTCAAGACGTCCAGTTACTGTAAAGCTCCAAAGCTCAGGTAAGTCTTATTTTACCTCAGATTTTTAGAAAGTAATAGAAATGTGTAATTATAATTGTTTTCTTTGATTACTTCATAACAATTCTGGCTCTGCAAGAAAGATTATTTCTATTGTTTGTATAGTACACACTATATTTAATTGCCATACATGGTTACAGTAAAGCAATATATCCTTATTTTAGAGCCACTGTGCAATAGTAAAAAGTATTTAATCCGTATCACTCAGCATCACTTTGGAAATCTAATATTTACTTTTTAAGAACTATATCCTTCCGGTCAGTGAATATCATGTGCATTTAATCCAATAACCAGATTTCACAGTTACTTAATTCTATAGGTTTCTTTGATGATTTTAACAAAATGTACACATAACAGCTGTCACAGATTTGTCACAACAAATTGTTACTGACTAATCTCCTAAAAACGACCAATGCCAGGATGCTCAGTGTCCTCTATGGCAGTGGTTCCCAAACTTTTTGTGCACCAAAGGACAAGTAAAAATCTCAAGGCACACCTATTGTGCAGAATAGCCCTTATAACACGTGTTATCACTCATATTATGTAAAATATCTGTAAATGTGCATAATTATTTACTAATGCCAAATAAAATGTGACAAAGACAACTATATTACTCATGAAATATTTATTAACGAAGTATTTCAGAAATGAATTTGAAACTTTATCAAATTAGGCTTCATCAAAGCAGCAACACACTCATTTAAACCAGACAGGTCACACAATTAAAAATGGAAACGCAGCAGAAATTCAGCACAGAGAACTGTCAATGCAAGGAAGCTGCATTGTCCATGGTCCTGAACTACAAATTATAAATGTAACATTTCAGCAATCAGCATTGAAACATGTGCTATTGTAAATATTTTTGCCGACTTACAAATTAGTGAGATACATGTGCCTGTCGGGGCACGCATAATTTGTAATCCTTGGTGGCACTGAGGAGTGGGCCACTCGCAAGTCCTGTCCAACAGAGAGCCGTGACCTCCTGTTGTTCTTCATGTAAATCAGAGTAGAGAACGCCAACTCCAGAGATGGGGTCGTTACTAAAAAAACTACACTACTTCGTTACTATCTACATAAAGTAACTCGTTACTTTACTCGTTACTTTACTCATTACTTTACTCGCCGAGCACGTACGAACTGCGCATGCGTGAGTGGCAATAACTTTCCTTACTTTTCCTCAGCAGGCGGCGGTAGTGTGTATTTGTCATTCAAAACAGGCAACAACCGGAAGACAGAGAAGAAGAACAGACTACGTGATATAAACAAACAACAAATAGCGTGTGCGGTAGCTTCACCTTAGCATGTGTTCTTTGCAGGTGTGTGTGTTGAGGTTTGACGTGGTGTTTACAGCAGTGGATAACAGCTTCTGGCCTGGACACAGTTTGCACCTCACCGTCACATTCCTGTCTATTCTTCGGACGAACTCAAAATAATGGGCATACCTCCACCCCTCGAAAGTTATCGCTGACTCAGCCATGTTTATGCAGCACTGCACGTGGAGATGTGGACGCGCAAGTCGCGCAGATTACGTACATATAAACCTACAAAGTACTGATATAGTAAATTAAATAATTATTTTTGTGTAGTTGTATATTGCAATAATAACATATGGTTGTCACAAAATCCCACGGCACACCCGGACTTGTCTCACGGCACACCAGTGTGCCGCGGCACACCGTTTGGGAACCACTGCTCTATGGCAACGCTCCTCCACAGATCTGTTTACCAAGATCATTGTGATGAAGGCATATTTCAGGATTGCCTCTCTTTAGGATTATCCCTCGGGATCCGTATTTAGGGGAGCTTTTTCATTGAGCTGTGCTGCTCCTGGTTTGTTATCCCTGCTGGGACTGAAACCCTTTTCTTTAAGGCTCCTGAATTCCCAGGCTGAGAAATACCCTCGGTTATTGGTCTCACAGCTCCAGTCGGTGCAGGAGCAGATCACACAATGAAGAGAGTCACGCTGCTACATCTGACTGCTTCTTAATGGGTCAAATACAGTCTATGGTCAAAAGACAGTGGCTGGTCAAACGGATAGCCCAGTCAGATAAAAAGATATATTGTTATAAAGCCATGCGCTGCAGCATTATTTAATCACGTTTAATACATTTGAATAATAATACATTTAATTTATATAGCGCTTCTCATCTGCCAAGACAAATCCCGAAGACGTTTCACTGTCTGGGCAGATTTTTGCATCGTATATTTGAGAACTTCCATCAGCTAAAGAAACATCTGTGGATGTCAAGTTCATCTCTGCTAGCTGCACATGTTTTGATGATGTTTTTGGATCCTCCACAAAGCGAAAATAAGCCTTTTCTCACATTCATTATTTGTGTTCACGCCCAATGGAGTGGGCAGATGGAGCTTGCCTGAGGGATAGAGGAGTGGGTGGTCATTTTGTAAGGTGTGTCGAATGGTTCTCATAGAGAGAAAATACAAAAATGTGGAGAGTATATCGATCACAAGTTATACTTTAAACTCACGAAGGAATAACCCCAGAAATTTGAAAATCATATCATATATCATTCAAATATATCTTTGATAAAAGTATATTTCCACCAACAGGTTACTTTATGTAGCCGTAACACATAAAGAACATTTGGAAAATACTGAATAAGAAATGGAGCTAAATGAGAAGATACAACTAGCTTAGTTTAGACTGAAAACGGGCAAACAGCTAGCCTGGCTCTGCGCATAAAATCTGCCAACTGTCACAAAAAACCCTTGAAACTATAACTTGTCATCTTAATATTAAATGTTAGATACAAATCAAACAGAGGTGTTAATACGTTTGCTTTTAAGCTAACAGGCGGCTGGCGCAAGCTTATTATTAGCTTACAAACACGAGAGTGGTGTCTGTCAGGTGAAGAGATACAAACTTTGGAGACACATTTACAGACTTATTGATGCTATGCTAGCTTTAGGTTTAAAATTGCTCACACTATATAATTGTTACAGTTCACCATTCAGTCTAGATTAAAGAATTGTATGCTGACAAATCAAACTAGGGGGCCAGATGAACTGTAAAAAAGAGGAGTGAAGATCTAATGACTCACACTTCCTGAACTTAATAGTGTGCAGAGGGAGTCTCATACTTGTAGTGGTCAGAATGAAGTAATTATCTGCTCTGAGGGAATGTGGACATTAACCGGGTACACTGACATCCATTGTTACCTTGTGAGACTGTCACTGAGACAAACTCTCCCTGCCTTGTGTGTGTGTGTGTGTGTGTGTGTGTGTGTGTGTGTGTGTGTGTGTGTGTGTGTGTGTGTGTGTGTGTGTGTGTGTG